GTTTTAGTAGTAATAGTTAGTGGGAATCCCTATCAAATAGGTGTTTGAGATTCTTCTCCTCTGTAGCAATCTGTGCTATTCAGTGCTTTCATAAAGGTCTGGAAGCAATTGTGGTGACAGCTGTTCTGCTGCAGTGAATCATACATGGCAATCCAGATTTCTTGGGGCCTCTTTCTGGAGGGGAACAGCAGAAGCATTTCAGTAAGGCAAATTTGAAATTACACATCTAGGAATAAGAAACGCAAAGACTTCCAACAAATAGGGGACTGTATTCTTGAGTCAAAAAAGGGGTTTAGTGATTGTAGTGGACAAGCATTTCAAAATAAATCCTCAGTGGGATGAGTAGGCGGCCTCCTTTGGTACTTGATGGTATAAAAGGCAAATACTCAGTAGAATGAGTGTGTATAGAAATACACATGCACACATTTTTTTCTTTATGCAGTGTTGATGAAGTTGGTCCTGTAATACTTGGAATAATGTATCCAGTTTTGGTGCCAAGATTTCTGTTTCTTTATTTAAAAAAAAAAACAAAACAAAAAAAAACACCCAATCAAGCAAACCAGAAAATATCAAGAAAACAGTCTAAAGGCTGAAGGAAATACTTTGAGCTCTGGAAGCCCTTACTGTATACTTATTGTAGTAAATAAACACCTGCAGGTAGAGAAAAGGTTGGAGACTAGAGTCTAAGAGACCTGTTCTTTTCAGCAGAAAAAGGAGATATAGTAAGTATGAAAATAAAAATACATGGCTTTAGTGTTGGGAATTAATTTTATGCAAAGCACACAGTTGGTTCTCTGTTCAGTAGTATCCTAGAGGAGGAAGCCAAGAGCTGTACGGGAGGTGACTGTGTTGAGCAGGGGGAATGATGAGCAAGACAACAGCCTCTGATGAGCGGGCGGAGAGACCAGCGAGCTCTGGGGCTGGTAACACAGTGCATGACATGCAGCACTCCCTGTTCAGCTGTTACCAGCTGCCCTCTTAAAGCTGGGAATGTGTCTTAGTCCTTGCCCTGCCATCTCTAGGAGTTGGAAAAGGTCAGTCATGAGGATTTTTGGCTCTCTTAAGGGGTACTGTTGTGGGGTGCTAGGGTGCTTCCCACACAGCTGCAGCCTCAGCAGCTCCTCAACAAATCCGTGTCCTCCAGGCGCCGCACTGGGGTCAGGCAGGTCCTGCATCTCCAGGTGTGTTTGTGCTCAGGTGTAGTAACAGCATTAGTTAAAACAGCAGAATGCTTGATTGCTTATCGTGTGTTTCCTGGGCTGCCTAGGAGCAGAAGAGGATCCTGCTGTGCTGTAATCAAGCATGTTTTAGAGTTCTTTATTCCAGATCTTCACACAGAAGAAACACTGTTCTCATTCCTCATCAAGCCCCAAGCTGGCTAATGAGTAAATTCAATGTATTCTAAGCACAAGGCAATCTGTCTTAGCAATGATCTTAAAGTCTAGTCAGCAATAAACCCTGGTAGTCAGAAGTGATTTTCCTTGAGTGTCCTGATTAGGGAATGCTGCTCAATTATCTGGATTCCAGCAAGCAGCTGGCATGCATGCTGCAGACAGAAAGGGAGAGCGGGGGAGAGGTCTTTAATTATCTTCAAGTCAGCAAAGATCAGTGTGTTGAATCAAAACAGATGGAGTGTATAATCCACTAGCAATACTTGTGATTGGGTAAATACAGTTATATGGCAAAGAGGAGGGAGGCAAAGCAAATGGGGAGGAATTTCCTCAGGGGTAGTCTTTGAATATTGGTATATTTACACTGTCCCTGATAGCCAAGGTGGAAGTGTGAAGTGTAAATACGGCATCAGAGTGAACCTTTCTGTGGCGACTTGCAAGGCCGTGCTGGGGAAGCGGCAGGGCTCAGCAATGTCTTTCCTTGGGGAACCCCATGCTTTGTGTTGTGCTGGCAGTGGCTCTGTTACAGGTGGCAGATCTGTAAGTCTTGGTTCCAGAGGGCACAGGTTTAATTCCTTTCCTGAGGTGTGCTTCAGGCCTTTCTGCAGTGACTGCAAATCAGGCTAGGCTTGTCGGACGAAGTAACTGAAGACGCTTTCTGGAGAGCTGTGAGCTGGTGAGACGCGTGATGGAGCTGCTGGATGGAGTTACCATGCTGGTGGGAGCTCCGTGTTCTTTCTGGTTCCGGGTGTGAGGTTTGCAGTTACCTTCTGAGCATCTCCACTCATCACCAAGTGGTAGTGGGAGAACTGACCTGACAAGCTTGTCAAAGCCCAGCAGGAACTGCCAACCAGAAGCCCCTGTGATTGCCTATACTGATTGATGGGGTTTTCTATGGTGTTGCAGACCACACATGTCTGCTAGGGACAGGATTCAACCCAGTGGCCCTTTCTATGCCGGGTGCTAGCTGGTTGTTAGAATGGCAAGAAGTTAGAAGGGCAAGGAGTCACTGGTGCTAGGACAGGAAAGCCTGCTGCACCCAGAGCACAGCTGAGGGTACTGGTGGGCACTGCGTGCTAAATTGCAGGGATGCTCTTGTATGCACAGGCACTGCCACGAGTGCCTTGGCCGGGGACACAGGCCGCACCAGTAACCTAGAGAGGATCTCCTCAGGCTTAGCATGCGTGGAAGCCCGACATGGCGTATCTCTGCCACCACAGCCGAGCCCTGGTGATAGGGGCACCCTCACTATTGTCGTTTGTCTAAGTCTGAAGTGCAGGTTAGTGACTGATTTTTCATCTTGCTTCGTCACTGTTTTTGATCAATAGACGGCAACAGGCAGCGAGAGCAGCGTCTGGAAAGGTGGTTTGTTTACCTGGAGAAAAAGCACTGCTTGCCCTTACATGGCTGGGTATCTGTTTCCCAGCTAGAGCCTAAATGGTACAAGGCAAATGAGACTTGAGTGCCTGCAGTGTGTGCGGAGGCTTCTCCTCCCTTTCGTCTCTCCTGTGCGGATAGGTGCTGGATTTGAGTTGCTGAGCTGAATACACCAGAAGCGGCACTGAACAGAGTAAAGTGTTTTGGTGGAAAACACTTAGGATAGAGTGCTGCTTTAATTTTGAGGCAAACTCTTCAATAGAGGCACCGTGCTTCCTTAGGGAAGGATGGCTCTCGATACCAAAATCAAATGCTACTTGTGGAGGAACGCAGAGGCGAGGTGAGTTCTGCTGTGCTGTGTTATGGGGACGTTTGCTAGAGCTCCAGCGAAGCTGCGACCGCAGGTTCACACAGTCTGAATCCGATATGCCAGAGGTTGCCACCAGTGTGTAGTTCTGTTTCTGTAGGTACCCTTGCCACCTCATAATGCTCTCAGGCAACCTTGGACCTCTGTTTTTCAACCGCCTGTTTTCCTTTAAACAGTACAATGAGAGAAAAAGAGCATCCTACTACAGTGCTTGCTGCCTCCTAATCAAAACAAGCCAGAAACAAACTGGGGTTTCCTCAGCTGCAATACTGTTTCTTGTTGTAAATTCCCTGTATCAGTCCTCCCATCCATGTTGCCCCTCCGTGCCTCAAAGCTCTTCTGACTTCTGTTAACTAGTGTGTCGAACTGAGCCGAAATTCAAGTGCAACTTTTCTGCAGTAAAAGCCAGCTCAGGCTGAAGAAAGGCTGAGTGGCAGGAACTTGTTCCGGTGCCATAGGAGCACGTGTGTAGGTGGTAGGCAGCAGATGGTGGCACCCATTGCTACAGGGCTGCATCATCTGCCCGGAGCGAGGCCTCCAGCCACAGCCTCAGCACAGGGTGGGGTGGGGTGGACCGTCCCCGCGTGAGCCTGCCTTCCAGCGCACCCCCGGGGCTCCCCAGGCTGCCTCATTCGGAGCAGGGCAGCAAGTCTTGCCCGGGAAAAGCTGGCTCTGCTTCTTGAGAGGGAGACGTGGGTGCTGGAAATTACTCGTCAGGTTGCCGTCGAGAAAGTGAAGGGGCAGGTTGGACGCTGTTGGGTAATGCCTCGCACGTGTGGCGCAAGTCCAGAGGTGAGTGGGCCAGAACACGGTGGGCTTCTGCAGCGGCTGCCCTTGGCGCGTCGCAGCACAGATGGGGACAGCCTGCACGGGGCCAGGCCCACAGCTGGAGCAGAGTGTGTGGCAGGAGGGGGGAGGGGAATGGGACTGTTTGCCCATCAAAAAAATCTGTTGTGTTCAGGCTAATACAATTTAAAAAATGGGGGTTTGTAGAAAAAGATTCAAAACTACTTTTTATACACACATACCCCCCTGCCCCACCTGGGGTTTTTCTCATTTAGGCTAGCTTTTTTGGGGTGGAGGGAAATTAGTCTCAAACATAAAACCATGTATCGATGTACAGTCACAACCTTAAATATGTAACTTTGAAAATTCAAAGTGGGGATGGTGCGAACCCCCTTATTGGCTGAGGAGGCAACAGACATATGGCATGTATTTGTTCTTTCTGGCTGCTGCTTGTTCCCCTTTTTGTTGTCTCCTAGGAATTATTCTCATTTTCCAAACCTGAGCAATTTCAGACAGACAACTGTAGGAAACCGAATCCACATTGCTATGGCATTCAACTGAGTTTTCTGTGTAAAACTGTCTATTTTATAGCTCTCCCATTAATAAAGATACTCTGGTTGAGAGGCTTTTCTCAGAGTCCCAGAGGAGTTAGGAATTCATTCCCAACTCTGAAATCAGAGACCCTGACACGGCTTTGTAGTTGAAAGTATTATTTGATAAACATGATCTTTTCAGAGTGCTTACTATGAATGTATTGATGCAAAACTGAATCAAATTAATAAAACTGAGAAGCAGCACCTTTTTTTATTAGTAGTAGATGGAGTTGGAAAAAAAGATACAAATCTACCTTAAATGTAAAATATTTCTATAGTTTCTTTAACAGAAGCGTCTCAGGTTGGGGGTACTTTAATACCATAATTAACAAGACCAGCTTGGAGGAGGAACACTTTACTTTTCCCTAGCAGCTTTTCAACAGTATCCCAACCCTTGAATACAAGAATAAGTGAAAAATGTACTCTGAGCACCGCCATGAAAACATCGGTTCCCAGATCCAAAGGAAGTGACAGGAGCGACATGGGTAAAGAACAGAAAAGGCTTTATTACATCAGACAGATCTTACTGTTGCCACTGTACTGGGAAACTCCCTGTAATCTCAGTTCAGGTAACATTCAGTAGAGAATAACTCCCACTATCTTGGTCAGTAGGTATCAGTGCCACACTGAGCTATGGTACATTCTTGAACAGATTACAGAAGATTTGGTTATGCAAAACAGTTTATATTAAAAAAAAAAAAGTTTAGGTTCCTAAGAATGTGACTGGATATTTGCTGCTTTGTACAGGTCCCACCCCTTTCATTTCCTTAACAACCCCTCCCCCCAGTAACTAAACGAAAGAGAACTCTTACAAACATATTCCTCTGCTATTTCTTTCTAGTAAAGCAGTGAAATCTTCCTTTTAAAATAAAGTACTGGGCATTTTTCAGTGTGAATTTTTCACCAAGAGGACAAGCTGCTTGTATCCAGAGATTGGGAACAGCATCATCACTTTGCCACAGAAGTGGCCTTTCTAATCAGAGGGACCCAAAATTATATTGTGATCTCCGTAATCCCTGTTTTCTATTTTTTCTTATCGGTCTTACTAGTTTACAGGAACAGGCTATCAGTGGTATGATCAGAAGCAGCTCTATTTCAGTAATCACCTTACTCTGAGATGCTTTCTAGATGGAACCGTTGAAAGATTTTTCTTTTAAGGCCCAGCTGAGCACTACGAGCAAGCATATGCACAGATCCAAAATGAGTGACTATTCTTCTCTATGATTGTTATTTTTGTGTGCAAATAGTGGCTTCCCAGGAAAAACTGGAGTAGTTCACATTCAGAATGGTTAGTACCATATGCATTTTATAATGTACTTGAGAACAGGTACAGGACTCTTACGAGTACTGCAAAAGGTACTAAATCTCACAATATGTTTCTGGTTCCTTTCTATATCAGCTGAAAGCTAGATTTTTATTTTTTTTTCTTAATAAGAGCTGAACAGAAGCACATGATCTCTGTTAACCAGAGGGAACAAAAATATTATCCATAGCTTGCTAGATCTTATAATTAAAAGAAAAGGTATGCAGTGTGGGTGTTCAAGCACATACATTATCTATTAGAATGGAGGAATATAATTAAAAAAAAAAAATTCTGTAACTGACATTTAATTTAAAAATATTTTCTCCTTCTTCAACTCCAAACAAGGCCTTGTAAATATCGTGCTGAGTGGAAGAGGTTACTTCATTCTCTATCTTCGGGTGTCTAATAACATTTGGAAAAAAAATTAAGCCAAATATGGTCCTGGATAGGAGAGGGTCTTGTTTCACTGAAAACTTGGGCTTTTCTTGTTCCGAGGGCTGGGGCAGATTCTTTCCCCGCCCGCACACCATCACCCTGTGTGATCTGCCTCCGCTGCCCCTGCCCACCCTGGATGGAGCTGTGGTGTAGAGCCGCTGCCCTCCTGCCCCCTGTGCTCCAGAGAGGGGTAAGTGGTTTGCAGCTGAACACAGAAAGGGTAATTTTAAACCAGGCTAATTAACACAGTAGGCAATTAATTTGCGGGCTGGCACATTATTGGTTTTTACACTAGAAAAAATTCCTTCTAGTGTAAGTCTGTGTATCCTTTACTGTAACAGTTTTGATGGGAAGCATAAGCCCCTTGTAATTTGCAGAGCATCAGGAAGACTATCTGAATTTAAAACCCCACAAAGTGGCTATACCTAAGCGGGTAACTCCTGCTCTGTAAATACACGGTTTGATATCCAGCCCCCCCATGCTTGCTTAGCTCTCCCTCTGGGGAGGGGGAGATTATAAACTGTCCTTTCCACTGCCTTTCTAGAATTATCCACTTTTGATACCCACTAGAAGTGTATGTGTAGTGTTACCAATTCATTTGCTGACCTCTTCAACAGTGCCAGCCATGTGCATTTAAGGGACCCCAGCTATTTCTTTTAACATCTTTTTTTAAGAGTTTGGGTCAGTGAGCTGGACCCTTTCTTGAGCTGGCTGAAGAAAAGCTGCTTTTCTGTTCAGTTGTCCTATTGAACAGTTTAAACACTACAGCTGCTGTCTTTCAGCTTCCTCCAAATCATGTATAGGATGTATAAGAAGATATTCTTCTAGAGTTATTGTAAGGATTAGCTTCAGTGTGAAGCTCTTACAGCACAGAACATTTACCTTTATAAAAGCATGGGAGGCAGAAATTCTCCCCGTTTGGATTTCAAAAGCAGCAGTGCAAAGGGAGCTGTATTTACTATTAGAAATACTATTTCAGTTCTTAACATTTCAACTCTTCACCTTCTCTGTGTTCTAGGGAGCGGACAGTAATCCTACAGAATGAGGGAAACAGGGCGTGAGTAAGGATTTTAAGTGGTATGTTCATAACAGAACTATGGCAGTATCATCTTTAAAAATTAAGACATGAATATGAATGATAAAAGTAGCCCAGGGTAATTAATCCTTGCAGGAAAGTGTTTTCTTGTCTGTGCACAGAATGAAAACAAATGCAGGTGAAATATTCAGACACCCCAAAATCAAATTAGGACTGTAACGTGGGCAAGCAAAAAAGATGATCAAAGGACTGAGTGTAAACTAAAGCTTAAGACCTAAGAATTCCAAAGTTTTTATTGATGTGACAACATCTGTTTGAAGAAAAATAAAGTTAATGAAATTTACATGATGATAAACTTCCAAGCTTCCACAGATTTTTCATAAACAAAAAACATTCATGAATCAGTGAACCACAGCAATAGTAAGGCCCTACCAGTTTTGCAGACTGATTTAAACTTTGATCAGGAAGGAAGGAGGGCACTTTGATTCAAGTCAGAGGGGATAAGATGAACTGAGCTGTCAAATTCCATCTTCTGCTCACTTTGTAAGCTTAGGCATTTGTATTTGGATGGGCATTTAAATAAAGCATAGTAGCTTTACATTAAGCCAAACCTTCAAAAGTTGGGCAATAAACAAAGACAGGAAATAGAAAATCTAAGTAATGCTGGATTTGTTACAAAATCAAGGGCATACTGAACAAATCTGAGTGAGCATTTTTGACCACCTGAGAACCTGCAGATAAAACAGTATCCCAAATTCAAGGCATGATTCTGAGCCTTTTTATGTTACCTGGAAAAATTATCTCCAGCAGTTGAGGTCAGGACTTGTGTTCAATGGGTCTGCACTTCCCAGGCTCGAGCTAGGTCTGAGGCTAACAGGATCTTCATCAGCAGTGGAGGGAGCAACAGCTGAAGGAATAGGCTGTGGCTTTTCCAGTGGATTTTGAAGTTTTGTTTCTGAAATGCTAAATTCCATCATGGGCTCTTTCATCTCCACCACAGGTGCAAAAAAACCCCAGTAATGCTAATTCCAGCAATCCAGATCCTATTTCATATGCAGAAATTAACCCAAGGCAAGTAATAAAAATGCATACATCATCCCATTCAATTATTCAGCAGTTTTGCAGACATACCGGAAAAAAACTAGCTTTCAATATAAAAATTGTCTATGAAACAGTCTAACTTGAGTTTTTCTCCATGGATCATAATTCCACATGTGCTGCTGGATCTGTAGAAGAGGAGATAAAAATGAGCACTCCATTTCCAGCTGTCTCAATTGGCAGCTTGGATTGAAAATTAGTGTATATAAACCCAGGACTTGTTCTTTGCAAGGTTACCAGTGACTGAGAGTAATTCATACCCACTGTGTATAGTGGCACGTTAATTAAGGGTTAAGGTAAAGCCAAGCTCATAAAATTGCAGGAACAGTGAGGGTCTAGCAGAACTGGAGCAAGTGTGCAGCACAGCTTTCTGTTCTCTGTTTCAGAATCAGGTGAATTTATACCAGCCTCACTCAGCAAGGCCTTTCTGTCCCCTTAAAATATACAGATTATTTAACAGATCTTCCATGCAAGCCTTTGCACGATGTGAGCTTACAGTGAACGCGTGTGCAATTTAACACCCATCCCAACAGGTAGGAAGAAAGCTACAGGAGTAGGGAAATAGTCACAAAGATTACCGTGTGTGTGTTGTCCTGGCATCTTAGCTGGTGTTCCCGTTTCTTTTTCTTTCTGGAAAAGACTATGGAGCAGTTTGATTTCTTGATCGTAGTCCTGCCATTCTGGAACTATACGCATCGCTGCTTGCAACTTCGGCTCTTTGGTCATTGGGTTATTACACTGCAAACAAAACATACGGACTGTTCAGACACTTCATGCATAAAAAAGGTTTATTTACTGAATAGAGGTACGCTTCCCCCTGCTGGAATTAATCTGTTGCTAGTGAACAACACATGCCTGTGTTTTAGCTAGTGTATAGTGCAAAGTCTCTTTCCAATTTCCTAACAATGCCACTGCTCCAGGTAAAAGAAATACGGAAGCTAAAGGAAACAACTGAAGTGCTGAAAACATTTAAGTAACAATATGGGATGAGGTGCCTAGATCTGAGCTAGGGAAGTGCCTCTAAAACTGGTCACTGAATTTTGTGACATAACACTGTGGGAGCCATACCACACTTACCAGATCAATGGTTTTTGCTCTCTTCTTGGAGGAATCATCACACCATGTTTCACACCACAGCCACTCCTGGGGGAGTGATTTAATTGGCACCTGGTGGATCATGTTGTTTGGCAAATCCTGTCATGAAGAATAAGAGTTAGCAGCAGTTTCCACAGGGTGGAGGGTGGGAGGAACAACCCCCTCAACCAGATAGTACTGAGACTTTTTTTACTTTTGTAGAGTTATTTTACCAGTTCAAATAAATTGTGATGAATCAACCTTTCCTTCCATTCCAAACAAAGTTCTTTGGAGAAAAACCCTGCATTCTACAAGTGTTAAACTTACTTTGTTGAAAATCAGTTATTTAGCAAACCGTGTAAAAGCAGTGATATGAATCCAGTATCAAACCTGTACTGGACCAGTTTGGAAGACTATTCTTAATTGATTAAAGCCAGTGTTATTTTTCTACCCGCCCCAGCACAAGCCTTATTTCCACGTTATTAAGTCTGTGCCCAGTAAAGCACTCGGAGCTGGATAGCTCAAGAAACAAGCACCCAGTTGTGTTATGTATTTGTCTTGGCATATACTGGAAAAATTTGATAGTCTTCAGCCATTTAAGGGGAGAGCAGTGTTTCCTCCCACCAGTTGCATTCGATGCTGTCAACACCGGCCTCATCTGAAGGCAGGGCCTACGGGACTGCCACTGGCACCTGGCCGGGAAAGGAGAGGTCCCAGCCTGCCATCATACCCCAGTGAAACCAAAACAAACACAATAAAAACACACCTGATCAAGGTTGGACAGACTGTTAGGGTCCTGACTAAGACCCTGATATTGTCCTCTGAGGCGATCTCCCGCTGCTATCTTTCTGAACTTCTTCAGATCCACAACATACAGAGCGCTACATGGAGATGACGCAATTAGTAACGACATTTGACTGACGGGTAACTTACTGCAGCCCCAGCAGACCCCAAGGTCTGTGCTAATACATCAACAAATCTATCTTAGCTTTGCTGTCATGCAGTCCCTTCTTCCAACATTTGTTATTAAGAAATGAAAACGTCTGGTTATTTAACACTTCAGTTCTTCATCTGTAAAAGTTGTAGCATACTGAAAGTAACTTCAGTGTCCCTAGTGCTTCAAATGGACCATAGGCAATGGAACCTTAAAGAGGCAACAGTAAGCAGAAAGTGGTTCACTGCCACGTTGTATACCTCAGCTAGTTTTCTGCTAATTCTAAGTAGTAGCAAAAACTTTCCCCCTCTATTTCAAAAAAACGGAATTCTTCAGTACCTGATGTGGTATTTTCTTCCAGCTAAGTGACTTGCCCAGTAGCCCGATTTCCAGAACCTGTAGCCATCCATTTCTCTTCGACTGTCACAGAATGGAGTATATCCATAAGGAGCACCATCTAGATTGAAATCTCTTAACTCCTTTAGATCTGTGCGCACAATCTGAAGGGAAAAGACATTTTATTATTTGTAGAAGCCTACCAGGGGTTATTTGGAAATGCTGGTCAGGATTTATTTCAAACTGAACAAACAGTTAAAGGAAGAATTACCTGTTATACTCTGCAGTCTTTTGCATTATGTATATATAGTACAAAAACACAGCACAGAAGGTTTTGTCTCCCCTGCCCTTAGAGCTGGAGCAACTAAAATAGAGCTTAAAATAATCTGATAGGGGTTGGTTTGATAGCTGAAGGGCCAAACTGCTACTTAACAAGCAGCAAGAATTCTCACTATACATGAACTCTACTGTGATCCTTTGTATCCTTTCCTCTTGAATGTTTGGAAACCCTTCAGGGATGAAGGCCTTTTAATGCCTTTTTGACACAGATGTTGTGGTAGTAATACCATGCTAAAAATATCACTCTGGTGGAAAAAAAAAAGGCATTAATATCTTTTTATAAACAGAGCAAAAACTGTCCAAACTGAGAACAGTGTAGCTGGAAACTTACCCTAGGTGGTACTTTAGCTTAAGATCTAATGGTTTTAGTTGACATGGGATCATACTGTACGTATGCCAAAACACCTAAGGCATTTTATACTTACATGTTGACAATCTGTATTTCTGTTTCACGTATGTTTCTGAAGGAGCATTTTTGGCAGTGCTCACTGCACATGTATCCTGTACTTTCAAACACCTCGGGCAATAAGCACATACAACGCCCGACAGTCACCGTTTGCTCTGCAGCAGGACACGGCTTCGCGCACAAGGGATCTGCCTTCTCGCTCCTCTGAAAGCAGCTCAGGTCTGGCCGAGCTAAAAGCAGGGGGTGGGAGGGCAGGGTGTTCGGTGACTTAGGAAACACCGTATGTGGTAAATGATCCACAGAGTGGGAGAACAGAGAGAACTGGAAAAATGGAAGGGTGAAACAAGAATCTATTTGGCAAACTAGCTGGAATCACAGAGAGTGAACGAGGAACCAGACAAAAGGAAAAGACAGGCCAACAAAACCAATCTTTGTGGGAACAGGCAGAAAAACCAGCACCCACTGAAGCACGCTATAGTTACTGAATCAACCTGCAGCCGTGCCTGCGAAGGGCTCAAACTTGGAACCTTTGCAATAGTACAGACATTGTATTCAAGCACATACTATTCTTAGAGAAAAAAGAAAAAGAAGAAAGGAAAAGAGCAAGTAATTCCAACCTCTGTGTTACCTGATCAGCATCCACAAACAGGATTTTATCAACAGCTAATGGGAAGAGCACATCTAGAAAGAGAATCTTGTAGCCCCAGATGATACGCTGTTTCTCTGTTTGCTGATGAAGCCAGCGTGGCCATTTATACTGGACAAGCTCATACTGGAAATTATACTTCTCTGCCATGTATGGGATGAACTCCTGCAGAGGGAGAGGGAAAAAAGTAGCTTATCTCGGTACTTTGTTTCTCTGCAGGAAAAAGAAAAGTGTGTTACAAGAGAGAGACTTCAGTCCTATAATAAGGCATAAAACATTAGAAAATTAAATACCACAATAACTATAGTTTCATTGTTACTTCAAACAAAGGCATAACCATATCCTGAACAAAACAATCAGTACAAATTGTAAAGCCAACTATCGTAAGACAACTAAATATTTTGGCATTTTTCCCCACGCAACTACTTATGAGCCATTTCATAGTGATCCACGGATCAGTTTAAAAGAGCGCATTACTCAAATCATAAAATTTCACAGATGGGAGAATTATTATTTAGGGCTGTACAAAGCAGTATAAATGGGAATAACAAAATGAGATAAAAGAACCGGGAGACATTTTTTACTAGAATAACTTGGCTCACTGTCAAATCAGTTGACATTCTCATCTGTGAGGCTTCCTCTGACACCAGGAGAGTACAGGTTTAGCCAAGGGAGGGGGGAAGCAGACTGTTGCACCACCCCAAGAGGTGACCGACAACAGGAGTCACGGCACAGCCCATGGTTGCAGCAACAGGGACACTGCCAATTATCGCCCCTTCAGTTCATGCTGAACAGGCATTGCTTCTCTGGTAGTTTCCTTTCTATAGTTTTTCAACCCTTATGTATTAGATATAAGTTTATAGCCCTGAATTTTATCTTAAAATCTACACCTTTATCGTGTGAGTCACCAAAAAAAAAAGCTCAGATTCTATCAAGTGTGATTTTCCTAATATGTGCTGTTCTCTTAAATATTTACCTTCAGCAGGAGTCCACTGTCAACCTGTCTGTTACTTCTCAAAGCTTTCTAGGCAGAACCACCAGCTTATACCAACTTGATGCTTTGTCAAAATAGAAGGTATACAGACTGGTAACTCTACCTATGTTTACACAGCAGTATGATACAGAGGTTGCAACCTTTTTTTTTTTTGTATTATTTTTCCCCATCATACAATGAATTTCTAAGTAGTAACTAACCTTGAACGTAGGTGATAAGTAGTTCTTCAGAAACCAAAACTTCAAAGGCGTCTTAGTATGTTTCAGCACAGACAGCATCATTATGCTATTAAAAGAAAAAAGAGCATTTAGAAGAACAACTGCCACCCACTAGCGATCAGCTGTGTAACAGATTACAAATTGTTGTTTTGCATTATTAGACTAACTGCAGTTATATGTCAAGTAACTGATCTTCATGCACAAAGAATAAGTGGGTAGATTCAGCCTATTGCAAATTGCTTAATTTTATCTACAAAATTACTAAACCTCCAAAGTCTATAGATTTTAATTAGTCGGAGAAGATACAACCTGTTGGCTCTCACAGTCCTTTGAGAACAGAAGTTTAGATTCTTTTTTAAAGCAACTATGACTTACTCCATAACTTCTTATAACCACATGCAAATGTGTTGTTATTGTAGTGAGAAAATTCAGGACAGCAACATATCATCTATTCAACTATGTCTATTTTGAACATATGAATGTTATGCAGACAAAAGTTCCTATAATGCAGTAGATGCAAAATCTAAAGGACTTCTAAACTGCTGGAAGTTTTGTTTTGTTTTGGTTTTTTTTAATTCTTGCAAATTCTAACCTTTTTCCTCGTGGAAAGCAGTGCACATTACCATTTGAGACCCCCAGATTATAAATTCTGAACTAACCGTAGGAATCTTTCATATAGGTGTCCTGAAGCCACAGAGAATATATTTAGTACATCATCTTTATCCTGTTTCACATCTTCATTCTTTTGCCCTCCTGTGAATCCCCTGAAAGGACAAATGTATTTATATAAAGGACAAGATAGTACAGGCCAGCTATATAGGAAAGAGTGCCACGGATTATGAATTGCTACAGGGCTGGTTTAATATAATACAACTGTGGGGTTCGGTGTCATCCCCCCCCACCGGTCAGGGTATCCTCTGCAAGGCAGAGCGCCGCAGACACAGACAGGGAAGACTCATAGCTTACATATGAAAACCCAGTCAATTGAAAGATTGCTGGCTGAGGTGCAGCTCCTGGAAATGAACAGTGTTTTCAGACTCCCAAGCAGCAGTGGGGGTAAGGGAAGGTAAGCAGGTGCAAAGCAGTAGCCCAGGTCTCTAGAAAGATAGCCCTAAATTTAAGAAGTCTTAATAGACAGCTGTGGAGTATCACAAACCAAAGTGTATCATCAAACAGTTTTCCAGTTTCAAGAGACTTGCAGGTTATTATTGAATTAGTTTTACCATTTGAGAGATTCCCAAAATCCAGATTCATTCTCACTGGTACCGTCACTTAGTAGATCTTCATTCATCATATCTAGTTTTTTCTGAACCTGTAAAGCATAACAATGCTTTAGTAAGTGGAACTGCATATTGGGCACACAGCTATGGGGGGTTATTTTAACACTGGCTCTGTTTGTGTCCATTTGACTTCTGTCCCGTGAGCTGACAGGTAACCTAAGCTGTCTGGAGAAACAGCTCAGTAGTGAAATGACATTTTCAGAACAGATTCCAAAGCTGTTTTCAGACACCAAAGGTATGTTAATCTAGATGGTTAAAATGCTTTGCAAAGCGGTGTTTAGTGACCATCCTTGATGAAGGAGACTGGCAAAGAAAAACCCTCAAAGAAACCAACCAACCCACCCCCACGCCCCTCAAAAACCCAACGCAACACCTCCACCACTTCCTCTTTCTAAGAGGTATTATTGGCCACTCAGACTCCAAAGCAGATAGACAGACAAGGTAGTGAATCAGAACATCCCAGAATTACTCTCGCAGAAGTAAATCCTGTGAGGAAGTGTGAATTGGATGTGTTATAACCATCACTTACCTATCAGGTGTCCTCCTTAAACTTTTCAGCTATGTCGTTATCTGATAGGCAACCCTAAGAGGCAGCAGATTACTAATTTACCTTTTTTTTTTTTTTTTTTTTAAATGTGTTCTCACCTACTCTGTATCAGACTGATAGAAAACGTATTGCCAGACGAGTAAAATTTGTCTGTAACAGATAAAATACTGGCTCAATGGATACACTGAACATTTATTACTAGACGTACGTAGGACATACAAAACTGACTGTTTTCTTCTGAAGTCACAAGCACAACTGAGTCAGTAAAATGTGAGCATAATTGTTTCTCATGGGCATACAAGAGGAACAGCAGTTACATGTCATTCTCTCCTGTGTCAAAAAAACCAAACCCAAGTCTACAGACAATTCTGTTATTGATACTGTGATGTGAACTCTGTGCAACCTGCCTCAAATGTAGGCTTGTAGGAAGGGATCATCAGGACTTAATCACAGTTTCTTCCCCACTGTTCGTCAGTCTTTTTTAAGAGCAACTCTAGTTTTTAAACTCACCTTCACTTTAATGATTTTGCTCTTGAAGTTGTTGAGAACAACAATAACTTCACTAGCTTCAGGTGGAGAGTCTGTGCCATCATGGCTGAAAATACAGTAAAATACTGACCTTTACTACAAAGCAGAAATATGTTCTTTAGTTCTTCGACACATTTTTCTACATGCCTTAGCACTGGTAAACCAGGTTTGAGACATGCAACAAAGTAACAAATACATGTATTTGAACACATGCTTCCTGGGTTTTATAAATGAATTAATTACTTTCATCTCACATACCATATGTTCAGCACAAAATGTAATTCACTGTTCAGTTCACTACACTTTACCAAGGGAACTGTTAGATTCCCGTATTACAATGCCCACCTAGTTAAAAAATATCAGAAGTAAAAGATTACAGTATTTCTTATATTGTCCTACCTGTAGATTCTGTAAATATCCTCAGATCTGCCCTTTCTGAGCCTGAGAGTCCATGCACCAGGATTGGCTTTTAATTGGAAGTAACCCTGTAAAGCAGAAAGAATATTTGTCAGTTTCCAGAAAATGCAAATGTAGAAAACAAAGTTTTCAAGTCAGGTATTTTGACCCACTGTTTTATACCTGAAAATAGTTATTTGTAAGCCAGCTGATTAACATAACCTTAAGGCCTTAAAACCCAAAGAACAGGAGAAAAAACCCACAAGTTCCATTCAAAATCATTTTGGTTCTAAGAGACAGGAGTATGAAAAGGTCTAGCATTATTTGTCAGATGAGAGAAAGTCTTCAGGGTGTCCTGATGTGCAACCCCAAAGATTTTTTCTGCAAAATTGTACCTTCATGAAAGAGTGAGTGAATCTCAAAACAGTAGTTGGTAACTACACAGCAGTGCACAAAAGGTCTGCCTATAAAACAACATCTAAACGAATTTTGAAGCTCTACAGACTGATATTTCATCTACAACAGGAAATAGTAACATAATTTATATTTTACAAGATATGTCTTCTACAGGACTTAAAAAATTACAGTATGAAATTCAAATAATGTATGCAAGTCTTGTTGAACTTTCAGGTTCCAGATATGAATATCTTCTTCTGTGATTTATATTATTACACCTACAGGAAATATAAGCATTTGTAGTGATGCTTCAGTGTCCCATCCAGTTTTACATACACACACAAAATGTGATCACACATAAAATAAGGGTCATCTTCCTTTCTGCAATAAGAAATATTACATCATTGTAGAATATACTTTGGCTGAAAAAAAGGCACAAAGAAATAGAAAATGAGTGTGAGAACTTTAAAATAAATATTTAGCATCGGTGAATGTTTTTTCCTTGCTTTTTCTTTAATACATTTAAAGATTCCAAAAAAACCTCAAAAGGCAATTTACTCCAGTTTTTTACTAACATTGCCTATCAAGAAAATATTCCAGTGGCTAACGTCCCTTGCCATAATTTCAGTCCATTACCTCTCCCACTGCCCAGTGCGGGCACTGAAAACAGACAGATCCCTTATGCAGCCACATTATAAAGGCAGTGGCAGGGAACAATCATATGTTTGGATTTCCGTCACCCTTTCTCAACTAAATTAAGTAATTGCTATTCTTTCACACTTCTGTTATTTTCTAGAACGCTGACTGTTCTTGCTGACTCTCTCCATTTGTTCCACAGATCTCCTGAAGAAAGAGGTCCCAAAACAAGGCAACTGTCCACTCGAGGCTCACAGCACCAGACTGGGTGGTCTAAGGAATACCCTGTCTAGAACAAACAGAACTGTCTGACATACCCTGGAAAGAGGTTGCTTAAGAATATATTTGCAAGCAACTGTGGAGCATAAGTAACATCACATATCCATAACTCACATAGTAGAAAATACTCAGTGGTGTATGCAAGTGATTGTGCTGGCTGGAGGACCAGTTATTTGTTGCCGATTTCAGTCGAATGCTTACCAAATTGGCCATAACAATGGTATCAACGATGACAGGATTGGTTGAAGTTCCCAGTGTAAACTGGAGTCCCCGAGGTGGCTGTCCAGTAGTAATATCATAGCAGTGTCCTTCCAGAAGCAGATACTCCAATTCATATTCTGCAGCTACAATATTATCCACCTGTAAGGAGAAGATACTGCTGACTGCAGCACTAGCTCTAAAGTGCAAACTTCTAGTGATTCGGTTACTCTCTAAAATAGCCACAGTAATTAAATAACACTTTTACCAGAGTAATTTTATTAAACAAAGAAAATACCTAGAAGTTCTCAAAGAGCTCAGCTCCTTCAAGTGACAAACTTTACACACATGTGGTTAAGAGTGTCCCTGACCAAAACGATTTGAATCTCAACTGGTAAGATGCTAGGATAAGGAAAGGGAAGGACTGTTGCTCTATTTTACAATTGCTACGTTTTTTGGGGAACATTTATTGGGGAATAGTCAAGTAAGTGATCGGTTTGACATCTCTTAAAAAGTATGATGGGCTCCAGAACTTTTAATCTAAGTTTGTTTAAAGCCAGTCTCATCTAATATTTATCATCTGAAACATTTTGTTTTGCTCTGCATTACTCTTACAGTGTGCTAGGGTACAGTCAGAAATACCAATTCCTCTTTTCAACACTGAACAAAAGTGCCAAGAGAAGAAAAGAAAAAGTAAAAAACAACACAAACCCATACAAAACACAACAAAAAAACATGGGACCCTACCAGGCTAAACGCAGAGGTAGCCTGAGGACACTACATAAGCAAAATACTAGTCTAATCTCACAGAGCATCTTCTCTCATTGCACATCCACAACGACAGTTTAATTGCCACAGCACTAACAGACTGCATATTAGGAGTTGCAAATGGTGCACCTGCAAAAGTAAAGCTACTATTTATTTGGAGGCCCAGGATGGTACTTGGAGTGCCTGAAGCATTTAATCCCACCCTCTCTCTCAGGCTTTCAGTTAATCTAAGGGGGCGCATGGGAATCGAAGGCTTGAAATGCATAGTAGCATCAGCCATTTGGTGGCGCATTTATGGCTTCACAGTTAGGTTAAGAGATAAAAAGCAAAAAAAACCTAAACCCAAACAAAAAAACAAACCACACAAACACCCAATTTTCTAGATTTCTGAATAACTAGCATTGGATTAGCAATGTCAGACTCTACCACTGTACTGCATCCTATTCCCAAGCAATATCAGAGAGATGCAAAAGTAAGAGTAGACTAATAACAATGTTCGGTGAGAAAGTGACCCACATTTGCAGTGACCACAAGGCTGCACAGACTGTTGCTTTTCAAGAGGCCTGTTTGTAAAGGGGCTGACAATGTCGTTATGCGTGCAGCGGAGGGGTTTCCGTACTGCAGGAGCCGGCCGGCAGCTGGGGCCTGTCTCGGCAGCCAAGGGCCAGGGCTGAGGTGTATCGGTGGGGAAGCTCGTCCTGCCCCTGGCCATGCCAAACCCATTCTGCAGGTAAATAGAGACTTCGGCCTCCAGAGCCGTCAGTCTGGCATCTTTTGCATATGCTGGACTATACACCTAAAATTAGTGGCTTTAATATGTATCTGCAGTTCTTCGAGGCCAGCTAAATAATGGCTTACTTCAAGGGAAAAGACTATTTAACTACTTCATTTAACGCTTATTATTTAACTTTGCACCTTGAAGTCCAAAATTTTCTACTTTGCATTGCACATGGATTTTCTAACTTCTAATACACGTTTTCAGTGCCCATTATAACATGTTAGTGTAGTGCATTTTGTAACCACTTACTAGCTCACTATTTCTAGACCTTCTGAAAACTATTAAAGTTAAATGCTAACAGCAAGAGGTTAAAAATTAGCACTGAATTATCCACCCTACTAAAGATTAAGGAGAATCATCAACTTGCACACACAGATATTCTTTTTACATGTTTCTAATGATCTTTTTCTGCTAAACTCCAGCCCCTTGGATTTTTCATTCCTCCTTCTTTTTTCCCTATGTATGTGGGGCAGCACTGCCCAGATCAACATCCGAATAGTCTAATTCAAGGCCTGTTCTAGCAGCAGTCAGCTCCTAAACCTACTGCAACTGAGTGAGATTTCTGCTGCACCAGTTCTGCCGTTTTATTGGTAATGCATACCCTTTTGTGGGCCACAGGAGCGTCTGCCAGTAACAAAAGCTGTGAAAATGAACAGGTAGCTAAAACCAGCATGGTTACTTATCAGAGCAAGGGAAAGTAAGCAGAATTTACTTACTGGAACGGGACTCAGATCTTACTGCAAAATTTCTCAAAAGAGGCTTAAAAAATAACAATCTTACTTTTAGTTGTGACATTAGCTGTAGGGAGCTCTAATCTGACAGAATTTTTCAACTAATAAACTGAAAAAGTTATTTAATGAGCAACAAAGAGTTTCTTTGTTTGTAGCTCAGGTCACTCTGAAATGTTATATATAAACACTCAAAACATCTGTAGGATCTGCTTCAAGCCTACAGTATTTTTCAACCTGTGGTTCAGGCATCCATGAGTAATTGAGAACAGGAATCTTACTATCAGTGAGCTTAGGTTTACCTGCATTCCTCCTGGAAAACATTTTGAGGTCTGCAAACATAAAAGCTGTTAATATCCACAGTTCTGTGTTCATTATCATGTTAAAATTCTACATTTCTTTCCCATTACAAAAATAAGCCCTGGAAAACAACACCATTTAAGTGGAGTAATAGGAACACGCTGATTTCTCTTACCTCCTCTAAGTAAATGTTATCAAGGTCATAGGGGGTTCTGACAGATTCCACCATCCAGCTCTCAGGAGTATTTAGGTTCAAAGTGAACAGTGGAGACTGTGGCATATCCAAAAACTTGGCAATTGGTCCTGGAGCAAAGTTATTATCTGCTGTGAAAGAAATCTCCGGCTCCAAAACATAGCGATAAAAGCTGAAATGTCAAAAAGATAATGTTAGAACTGGCAAATATTTCACTCTCATTGAACTTGCTGATGGCATCAGCTTTCCCAGACCTGCAGTGTCTCCAAGGCTTTGTCCAAAGCAACACAGGTTGTGTTGACCTTCAAACAGGTCAGAATTTTCATCTTGAAGGACCAAACAGAATGTGCAAGGCCACCATTAAGATTAGTTTTATATATATGTATATATGTGTGTGTATATATATATATATATATATATATATATATAAAAATAAAAAGCACCCAACTTGTGAAACAGCAGAATCACCTCATGCTATCCACAAATTCCCAGATTTTCTGTGGGAAATCATGCTGTTCTATAAACAAGCTCAAAGCAGTTATTGAAACTTCCTATGGGACATTTGACTGTGTTTCTGTGCTTGCACATTCCAACAGGTTTTTCTTTCTCTCTCTTTTTTAACCCTGGCATGGTATTGCTTACCTTTTCAGTGGCATGTCAGAAAGTTTTGACTGGCAGTTCATAAACACTCTTAGGTTCATATTTATCAACTGGTTCAAAACCTAAAGTAATGATAAAAAGACATCCCTTAAAATACTAACTAGGAAAGATGACCATTGGTTTTATAGACAGGACCTCAAGAAAGCATGTTACCTGCTCATTCTCAATCCTCCCTTCTCATTATTTGCTTTACCATACCCACCTTTTAATTGGTGGTTTTAAGAACAGTCACCTGCTCCCTCACATTGCAGGCATTCTTTTTGAGATGCAGAGACTCCTCCTCAAGAACAGAGTCACTGTAAACTGTTAAAATGGTGAAACTAAAAGCTATCTAGACGATATCTAAGCATGATCTTAGTGTGTATTATAGTGTAATTAGTTTTTCCACTAACATATTGTGCAACTCAGACATGCTGTTAGAATGCCATTGGTCATCTCCTGTCCAGGAGGAAGACAAACATTCCAAGATTACAGAACTGAGACAGCGTTTTGAAATTGCCATAAATATTACAACATTGCATACATACCAAAAGTAATGGAGCAAGTCTTTGAGCATCTCTAGTCACAGGATCAACAATAGCCACAACATCAAAGTACGTCTCCCCCTCTTTTGGTCTCAGTTTAACTGCACTAAACAGAAGCAAAACCAATTTTACAGTATCAAACGCATAGATAAACATAGGAAAAAAAAATCTGTCTCATTCTGAAGTCAAATTACTTCTTAAATGCTATGTGCCTTCTGACACTAGATAGAGAAAAGAATATGTATATACATATACATGTATAAAGATAGGCAGACAGATAAAGTTAATTTCTGCAATCTCACTGTGCCCTGAAAACTGTTGGGGACTTTTCTTATTGCTACTTGGATATTTTTTTTTTTTTTTTCAAGCTAAATGCAATGGTAAATAATGGGAACATTAAAAGACAAGGAAAAGCATATCACTCAGCAGAAGCCAGCAATCCTATACCTGTATCGTTCTTCAAAAAAATGATATTCAATCCTTGCCTCTCCTTTTGGCTGAGCAGAAAGAAGAGCATCCACTTTCATTACCAAGTCACTTGCACTGAAAAGAAGAAAAGACAGAAAATAAAAGGTTTACAGACACTCAGAAAATGCATGTACTTATCACATTTCTGCCAGTTAGCAGCAAAAGAGAAGACAGACTGAAATCAGATACACAAACTAATGCTTTTACTACCTCTCTATGCAAGCTCTGAAGAATTAGACATATTTAAGGATTAATCCATCAGTAATTTAAACAGGTTGCAGCCTTATTACCGAGGGTGCCAAAGGGTTTAACTCTATAACAAATGCAGAACAGCTGGTATTTTAGGGGTCAACCATGCTACAGGTACTGCATTCCTGAACTTCACTAATCTCTCTTAGACCTATAAGCCATTCAGATCAAACCCTTCTTTCACAGCAGTCTTCCCATTTTACACTGCAACTCTTAAGAACTAGGAACCAATCCTGTATGTGGAGAAACTTCTGAGAGAGGGGGATCCTATCATTAAAAGAGAATTACTTCTGACAACTTCTTCCTTTTTATTATTCCCATAAATTCAGTCTAGTATTTTAAGAATATATATTAATCTTGAAGATGTAAAACCTCTTGAAAGTTCAATGAAAATTGATTTGTACATCATAGCTTTGCCAAGAAGCAATACTGTAACTTAAAGGTCTGTCAGCTTTTCCTGTATTAAGTAAGTCTCATAGATTTATAGTGACAGCTGTTTAAATTGTTCATACCAAAACCACAAGCCTGGTGAAGCCTGCCAAGTTTTACAGTGTTTTCCAATGCAGAAGATAATTTCAAAAGCTTTTGAAAAATTTTATCAGCATTAAAACCAAAAAACCACTGCTCCGTCCCAAACTAGCCCATGTTCAAACCATACCCTCTTCCTCTACCCTATCACCCTTATTTCTCTTTTGATTCCCAACAGAGCAATGGATGTGAAAGTGTTTGGAATGCTGTTAAAACCTGCCTTCCTAGGATTCAGAACCACACAAGATTTCTGCACAGCAGACCTCGTGCTTAACTTACTTGTTCAGCTTTTAATGGTCAAGCACCATCATGGAAAAATGTGATGCTAAGTATGAGAGAAACTATCTTCTTAGCTATGAGCCCCAACACACAAACACATGCCGATGGACTTCAGTTCTTCTGAACCTGAACATGACCTTCTTTTGATTAGCTCACTTCTAAGCTTTTTTCAATAATTTTCTAGAACTATGAGTTTCATTTTCGTATCTCTACCTCTTTTTCCTACGGTTTCTCTTTAAAAAGTTAAAAGCAGTTTACATGATTCCGTAGTACTGACAGTGAAATATATTACTAAAATAATTTTTATATTGATAGGCCAAGCAGCACTTAACTGAACTGCAAACAGATTCAGAAAGCATACTCCAGTGTCTCATTTTCTTCCCTTCTTTCTGCTTTTAAATCAGTACCAGAGTAATCCTACATATGAGTTATGAAACCCTGACATATTGGAGGTAAATGGTTTAAGGCCGCATGTCAGTTAAGATTTAGCTGGGGGAAAAACCCACAAGAAATATGAAGGCCTTAATATTAATGAAAAGTTAGGCTGCTCTTCCATTCAGAAGAGCAGAAAGGTAATCCAGTGCAGGAAACATTTTCAAGAATAAATGTAATAATGTTCAGCAATTTATACCACTTAGTAACACATCCCACAGCAGCAAACAACTCTTCTCTGCGAACAGACATCTTCTCTGTTAGTAAAGCTATCACCAACCACAGTCAGCTAAACCTTGAATGAAGCTTCATCTAGCTGAACACAGCCATGCATCTAGCCAGCCCTGTAGAATGCATCACCACCTTCATTCTTTATTTTTTCAGTCCACCTGTGTCACTCCCCACCCCCAAGCCAAGAAACCACATCCTGAACAGCTCCGACAGCACAGCAGCCCGTTGCCGCCCATGCTGCTGTCATCCAGGGACTCTCTCACAGTGACTACCAACACATTTACTGTTCCATGTTCAGTCGAACAGTTCTACAGTAAATTCCTACACACTTGGGCACTTTTCCAGTTTCTTGCTGCTTGTCAGTGCAGCTCCAGCCAACACAACTCCTCTAACTTCCTCTATGAGGTAACGGACCAGCCGTGGCAGGTTGCTGCTACATGCAGATACCAAGTCAGGAGTGAGAAACTCTGAACACACTGCCATAGTAGGGGTTGCCAGTACTCTCAGAACTGTCTCCTGAATCTGGGGGATACAGTTCCAGCTCCACACCTCCAGGAGACTATGAACTACAAAAGTCACTAAAGCACTTTAAAGCCAATAAAGATAATTTACATCTTTTTCCTTTCTCACTTGCCCCTCTGAATAGCTGAGCCTTGACCACACGAACACATTCATGTTTGTTTACAGCACCTATTCAGAGTGCACTTGATAAAGCTTTCTCCAGGCTGCAGAAAGTCACATAATCAGAGTTCTACCACTCTTCTGTAAGCCTCTTCACGTTTACTTACAGATCTTCTTCGAATCCCAGCTGCTGAATCTGAGATTTTATTTTCTGTCCTGATGTCTTTAGTATGATATTCTCAAGGAGATGAAAATCATCTTGATTAAACATTTCACCATCCTCTAACGGGCCAATAATCTACAAAAAAAATCAAGATCAGCATTATTAGGTAAAGGCTACACTGAAACAAAATGCAAAGATGTATTAAATAATACTCCAGTCTCGGTGGGTATCAACTGTTTAGGCTGGTATTAATGTCAGTGGCAGCAGAGTTTAACAGATAAATCTAGCTGTTTAGAGCCAAGAGTCCCAGACTGAAGCATAAAATGCATGCTTAAAATTTTCACTGAGTGCTTGGTTTGAAAAAAGTCAGGCATATTAAATTATATATGCAATACTACATCTTGAAGGGGCAACAGACTACCAGGCCAATTCCAGTAGTCCAGCAAGACTCCAGCAAATCTCACTCCTTTAGCCTTTAGAAGCCTAAAGGCTACCTAGGCAATTTTTGCTCTTTTGCTAATGAGAGAAACAGAATACCAGAACTCATTGCTTGAAATTTTTAACCCATTAAAGCATACAGTAACCACTGGAACTTGTGGGTTTTTTTCCTAATTAGGAAGCAGATGACAAAAGAAAAATCAATGCTGTACACAGCCAGGTTTCATTACTTGCAGTCAAATACTATTTTAATGTTATTTGCCTAATCTAAGTGGCAGTCATGAAAAGAGTTGGTGGAAGAGACCAAGGCACCTCAGTTAGGGCCAGATACAGCAGCATTTTGCCCAGTGAAGTAAAGCAGCACAATCTTTCAAAGTTATCATCCCTTTCCACCCCTCAACTCGATTCAGTGCCAACATGAAAGCACCTCTGTTATTGAGAGATCTAAATTTGTACAAAGCATCAACTAACTGCATACAGTACAAAGAAGAGGTCACACAGGTCTGAATAAATCAAACTGGAAGTGGTCCTAAAGTCTGCTGAGACCATGTCTGATCCCTAGATTCTGCTGCTCAAGGTCTGCTTCTTTCCCACGTGTGGAATATCTCGTTTGCTGTCTGCCGATTGATCTCACCCTTCCATTGCTGATCACAGCCCTCTGCCCCTTCTTCAGCTTTAGAACGTCTCTGCAATATATAGCATGGGACAGAATAAAATCCACCTTGGGAGACTCAAAGGCTTCTTTGAAAATACTGATATCCATACCCTGAAAGAAAAGAATATTTGATATTGAAATGGGAAGAAAAGTACACCTCTGCACACTTTTTTTAAATGCACCTTTTTTGTTTCCATTCAAGAACATCTTTATATCTTGCTAAAATTTATCCCCAGGCCCTTCTTCTTTTTGGTCTTAAACCCATTTCTTGCCTGTCACCTTCAAACATTATCCCAGCTTCTGATGGGAAGGGCCACAATCCTAGTAATTGTTGCTACTTAGACCAGTTGTTCCATTCTTCTGTTCTTTAGAAATTTGTGCCTAGCATTTTTAAACCTACTTTGAGAAATCTAATTGTAATTTTTTTCTCAGCTTTTAAAAAATATTATAGTTGTCTCTTAACCCCCCAAGAAACAACTGACTCACTTAAATAGATCCCTCAATCTGCATGCCTTTTGACTTTTCAAACTTACGCAGATTTGATGTGTATGAGGATTTACTTTCTTTTTAGAAAAAAAAAAGCAAACAACAGTAAAACCAACAGTGGTACTCTCCATTGTTACTGCACCTTTTGCATATGAACATACTACACTAAAAAATGCATTAAAAGAACAAGCAAAGTACCCTACCTTCGTAAATGTGAACAAACACACTTACCCCAACAGCAAATTCTAAGATGTCAGCTCCTGCCTCTACTGCCTTTGCAATTTCTTCTTTTGCCATTTTGGTGATGAAGTTCTTGGCATTATTTGATGTTTGTGTCTGTAGAGCTGCCCATATGGCTTTAGCGACAAGTGTATTCTGGCTATTTGGATCTTCACTAGGATTATTAATCATGCTAATTCGAACATTGTTGCTGGATTTCTGTGTTTAACAAAACACGCGTTAGAAAAGTTTTAGATTCAGCTGTGTTTTTAAATGAGAAGAGTAAATCTATTATAATAAACACTATAGCAAAAGTTTTATATTTCTTGACCAGAAAGCCAGATTCCAAATTAGGTAAATAACAGTAAAAGGTTAAAAGGATGAATGAACTAATTTAACATCAAGTGTTAATTTACATGTAGGCACCACTGTGACAGGAATCTTCTAGATAATACTGTGCTACATAAGAGATAGAGGGGGACCATGGACACCACTCAGAGGTCTGGCAAAACAGTGATTTAGGAGTAAGCTATCTATTGTCATGAATCAATTATCTTCCCAGAACAAATGAGACATAGGGGAGCACAATGTTCATGTTCTTCTTCAAACCAAAACACAGACATCTTCACTTTAGAACCATGTGCTTAAAAGAACATATTTTCTTTATTGTATTAGCATAGTGCCAAGAGAGGATTCTCCCCCCTAGTACGAGAAGGTCAGTGATGTTCCAGCCCCTTCAAATAAGATGAGGTCAGGAATGAAGAGACCCTGCAGGGGAACCAATCTCCCCAGGTCATACAACAAGCCACAGCACAGCCTGTGTTTTTCAAGCCTCTACTGACTGCTTTATTAACACTGCTAACCCATTCAAATGAAAATATTACCTACCTGATGCTTAATTGCATCATACAACAATTGCCTCCCTGAAGGTTTATCAAAATCACCAACAATCCAAAAAGTAACCGGTCTAACAAAGGAATCATCTGCAATTTAAAAAAAAAAAGGTGGGAGAAGTTTGGGGGTGAAGGGAAGGAAGGCTTCAGTTTTTCCTCATTTGGAGGAAAAATATGATGCACATGCAAAGATTTCAAAAAAAAGTAAAATTACATAGGAAAGCTCTGAATGAAGCTAAGCTATGAAGTCTGGCAAGACAAGAATGGTAGTTTTGGTATGATATTACGTTTCATTTACCTCATTCAGAAAGCCCACATGGGACAGCATGCGTCAGTATTTCTAAGCTGGTTTTTTTCGCTCTTTGCTATCTTTTTAATTTAGAAATTATAAAGGAACCTATAAATAACTTACAGATTCCAACATACTGCTTTGTACTGAAACTGTTAGTTCACAAATTCAGTTTTGTATAGAGAAAAAAGTGCTGAAGCAAACATGCATTTAAACAGCTTTCTTCATTTCCTGCTGGTTCTAAAGCCAATGTTACAAAGGAACCAGAAAATTCCCAGAACAACAACATAGGAAATGCTAAAGCATGAGTTACCATAGATCTCCTTGGAAGACATTCCTGGTCAAAAAGCAGAAAGGGAAGGGGGAAAGGAGAGAGGCATTAATAATTTGATAGTAATCCCAATGTGTATCAAGAAGCTGCAGCACTGTACTGGGCATAACTGAATCACTAAAAGTTCAAGTCCGTGCTAATTTTATTAGAATAAACTTTGACTTTTTCATCCCCTCAAATAGATTGATGCCTTATTTTCATGCTACAGCACTAATTATACTGTGTATTATCAGTTTTATACCATACCATGAAGGCATCATTTTGAAGACTGACTGCAAAAACTGCCATGCCATTATGACTTGAATGTTAACCTTTTATTATCTTCCCTCTTTAAAAACCAGCATGACAGTGCTATTTCAGTACTGTTGCTGAGCCAAGAACACGTGTAACTCTCCTATTATTTTAGAAAATAAATGTGCTGCAGCATTACTGTAATCAGATACCAGTTATTAAATATCTTAAGTGGCAGAAGAGGCAATGACCCAAAACTGCCAAGCCATGGGATTGCAAATTAACGCACACTTTCAAATGAGCATGTGGGGGTATAGGTTTAATTAATACTCTACAAAGGGAAAAAAAGAAACTTCTTCAGATCTAAGTGGCTGAGCATGAACCAAGGGCAAATATGAGCCAGAAAGAGCAATGGGAACACTGAAGGCAGTGCATGCAGTTGGCAGTGGCAGGAGATTGTACTGGGGAAACTTGTGAGAGTCTACTAAAGACGACAGACAGGAACAAGAGGAATTGGTTCAAATGAAAGCAGCTAATTTATGATAGCTGACTGAAATGGATATAGGAAAGGCCTAATTAAGCTCTGTATTATGTCTGTGCATGCATTTCTTACATTGAGAAGTACAGCTGAGTTTTAACACTAACAGGAGACTTTATGTATAACTGTAATAAAACAATACTATAATTGAAAAAGCAGTACATTCACTGGAACCATAAAAACAGCACAGACCACGTTAGGTGTTGTCTTATATAATGGCCATTAACAATTTTCTTCTGAATCCATGTAACTTTTAGTAACTTGAAATTATGAGTCAGAGACCTAGAACCCCTTTCATGTATTTTTAGTCAGTGTCACTGCAGGATCAGAGCTTACACTGCTGCATTTCTGGTGGTTATTTGCAATACAGCAAGAGTAGGTTGGGTGGGACTTCATGATTCACTGAAGGCTGGGCTGGGTTTAAAGAGGGGAACATTCTTGTTTCATGTAGAATATCATTCATGCATTAAAAAAAAAAAAAAAAAATCTTTCTTCTGAACACTTCAATTGTGCCATTACCCACAGGCCTGAACAAGGCTCAGTAGATGAGTTGAGTACTGTATGTGTGCTTGGAAACACATATAAGATTAGATTTGGTTCATAATCCACTGCAGATGTTACCTTTCTTTGTTAAGTAGGTCATACTGTTTGCGACAGCAGCTGTCTTATCTTTGGACTCCAGTGTGGTAAATCGAGCAAAGTCATCCACATAGAAGTTATCTGAGAAAGAGAAAAAGTACTAGATGTCAAAGCAACTATTCCATGTAAAATTAAACAAAAATCACTATTACTACCAGAACATTAAGAACATATCCCATTTTGTTCCTTGCAATACTGCTTTCTATGTCTCATTTCCACTGTTGATACATAAGCTGAAGAATATATTTTTGTTGGCTCTTGTTATATTTTTGTCTCATAAATTACCTTAATAACTACATTTCATATTTGATATGAAGTCAGTTGAAAGAACTGTTCAAGTCTCACTTAGTTGAAGTTAATTTATGTAAATAATACACATTTAAAAGTGTTACTATTTTTCAAGCAACTCAAAAAATGTAGTTGTACAATTGTTTCTGCAATACTGTCATTATACTGCAGAGTCACTGCATTTGGTGTTAATATATTTCGCCATGAAAAGTTCTGCTAAATCTTAAGTAATTCCAGAGATGACTGTCAATCTCTGCTCAAAAGAAGGTCAGAAATAAGAAACAAGCTGATGCTTTACACATTATATGACTGTTCTTGGCTTTTGCTAGCACTGCTAAATTTCTCAACTTCACAAGTCAGATTCCCCTAAAGGTTTGTATAAAATCAAACCAAACTTCTGTTATGAAAAATCTGTAGACATTAACGTTGCTATTGTACATAACACCTCCCCCAGCACCAGGGCTAGAACATCACTTGGGGTGCTCTTAAAACTTTGCCACAAAAGCTTTCTGTTGGGACAGCAAAAGTCTTTGCCTCAGATACTTCAGGTTTAATGCAATTAAAAGCATCCCTTACTCATTCCTGTCAGATCTAGGTACTCTCTGTCAGACGTTAAGATTCTTGAATTAATTCTTGGAACGACATTAGGCTGGTTCATGATATATTCAACCACGTCTTGGTCATTAGATAATTCACCCTGAAGCAAAGAAGCAATATTAATTATTTGACATGTACTTTTGCCTTAGATAACATCAAAAAAACAACTGAAAACAAAACCAAATCATAACTAAACATCAACAACAAAACCCAAACAATCGAAACAACCAAGAAATGATGCAAGTTAAGTTGTCTTGTGTTTTACATATCGAGGGACTTGAGTCAGTTTTTCCAAATCTTGTTTCTCTCTGAAGTCACAGCTGAACTCAGCACCTACCAGGTACACGGCTCGCTGGAAGATGCTTGTGGTTTCCAGGATTTTGTGCATTGTCACCGTTTCTAGGTCATCGGGATCCAGCTGATCTTTTTGAAAAGGCATTCCATTGAACAGCACAACGGGGAGTGGACCTACACCCGTTTGCTCATAGTAACCTCTCGCTGCCTAAATACAGGGGAAGAAGTAGCTTTACCATGCCAGTCCACTACCATGAGGATTCACAGTATTTCCACACAATATCCACACAAGCCTATTCTAAAGACATAAAGATATCCTTCCAGCTTTTATATGATATAGAGAATATTAATTTTCCGCAGTGCATAAGACACATCCTGTATCATACATCCACACGATGTCCTTGTCTTTCAGAGTTTCAAAGCAAAAAAAGTCACTTCATAATAGAGAAGTGCTAAATATCCCATTAATTCTTATTGTGAATAAATTAATTCCAATGAGCCCTTTCTGGTAATAGCAAAAAAAATGCACTACAGGAAATCTGACTTATCATATGGAAGCAAATGCAATGCAAGCAGTGCTAGTTATAACGTAAGACAGGGTATAGGCATTTTTTATTTTTTAAGAACGTGTTTCTTAAACTTCTGAAAAAACATTTACTTGTGGGGCAGGGAGTTATGTCAAGAGAGAGGTCCCCCTTTCATGTAACCACTGCAAAATGCACCCTGATTACTGACACTGTTATTGACAGAACTTAAACAGGTTCTACTGTTTCAGGACCTTTTAGGGACACAATTATCACAAAACTCAGATCATGTGAAAGAATGCTCAGTGGTTTTTCACTTGTGTCCTCTATATGGAGATAGGCTCTTTCTAAAAGCTTCCCTCCTCATCCACAGGTTTTGCAATGTTTTAAGCCATGGTTGTGCTGAATGGTGTCAGGTACAGCAGTTGCAGCAAGGTCGCTGGAGTGGCCCCTCAACTCTTCTGGAGGAGAGCACTCTGCATGTGTTAGGAGTTTGGGGAGGGGAGGTGGGGGGGGGAGAGATGTTGCTTTTGTTTTGTTTGGGTTTTATTTGGCATCTAGTATGGAAACTGAAGAGGCCTCTCCTGTCATACAAAAATGTCTGTTTGTTATGGGTTTTGATTTCTGCAAAATGCTTTTCCCTTCGCTTTCCCACATTGGAAGAAGGATAGCATGTGTGCATACAAGTCTATTTACGTAACCCTGGCTGCATTTCTTATGTTTACAGATGTAGGCAGTATCATACGTGTTACAGAGCTATTGGAGTCAGTATTTTCATTCTTTCTTTTAAAATATTCAACAAAAATATAAACATCCCTCTATAAAACCTCAAATAAAATCTCCTTCATCTCACATATAAGTGGTCCAATAGTGATTTGCTCTCCCAATTTGCTTCATACAGAAAAGTATCAACCCTAAAAATAGCTTTAAGAAATTATTTGAGGAATATCGTTTAACGCCTTGATACAGGAAAGGCATTTTGAATTCATCATCATTACTTTATCTCACATAGTGTTCAAACACCAATAAAGAAAACACACTAATCCCTTCCAGATATTAAGCCCCTTGGTTTTCTTATGGACCCTTTCATCACCGTAATTTTTTTCAAGCAATTTTAAGCACTACTAAAATCTGCACACCAGAATGAAAGCATGACTTATGAGTTACAAGAAAGTTACCTTGGTTCTGAAATATACATAAAGATTTTAAAATATATATATACATTACAATATATTATGTATATTACGTAAAGCTTTGTGCTGAACAGAAATACCTCTTAAAGTATTACCAAAAGTCACCCAATGTGATAACGAAATAACTACCTGGTTAGTAAGACAATTGGATTGAGAAATTGTATGTAACACTATTTTCAAAATGGTGTTGAAGCAAATAAAGTGAAAAAAGCTCTGTTTCATGAATTCTTACCTTTCTGTTTTGATCATAGGCAGAATCAATCCCCAGAATGCTGTTGACTTCCACATAAGGATACTGTTTCTCAAGAACACTAACCACATGCTCCACTTTCAGCTGATCTCCTGTTTTTACTTTGTTATATATCTGAAAAGGGGATACAAATACAAGTTTACAGCTGCAACTGTAAAGCTTCTGTCCTTACCATAGGTAAGCTGACTTGTCATCTGTATTCCAGTAATTATAAAAAGGCATTAACAGGCAGATTGCAGAACACAGATCCATATTTATTAAGCTGTACTAACAGCTCCTAAACACTTGTAGCTCTTATAATTATACTGCTTTACCTCATAGGCATTCCAGTGAGATTGGAAGGAGGTAAATATCATGTATTTCTTTAAATAATAATTTACACCTTTAATTAGAAAACGTATTTGAGGGGAAAAAAGGCACAAGTAAAGCATATCTAAAGAGCTACCCTTCCCTTCAGATCTCAACACAACAGACCTCACATGCAAAGCAGGTAACTGGTTCCCTCTTGAAGGCACAAGATTTTACTTCAACTTACAAATACATACCCCAAAAATGAGAATTTAAGTCATTGTCTTCAAGTCACTGGCAGTTTAATATTACAGTATGCCCCAGCTTGTTGATTTTACAACAATGTCAAACCACAAGTGAAAATGCATTTACTAGCCACCTATGTTATCCTTTGATGTGGCAAAAGTATGCAGCAGGAACTGTTCAAAACAAATTATAATATTGAAGGGATACAGCAGTTTAGAACTCATTGGCAGAATGAGTAAAGAGGCAGGATCAGAAAAACATGCAGAAGTGTTAAGTATCACATTTAAATCTAGTCTCATTTGTTAAAGTTAGGTCAGAAGCACTTTACAAAGAAATGTGTATTGTATGGCACCAGTACTCAGAGATATTCTGAATACTAAGCAAGTCAAAGAAAAGTTTCTTCCATTATCTACATGTTAGCACATTAACATAATCTTATATACATGGAAAATATTAAAACATTAATTTCCCTTTTAAATGAATACTTACAGACATGACAGTCTGGAAAGCATAATTATTGTCCATTTCTTGTGCCACATAATTGTACGCCCTAAGGAGGGCAACACCAGGATCCTGAAGTCCGTCAACATCCTCCGAGTCATTAACCACAAAAACTAGTCCAATCCTGCAATCAGACAAATCCCCAGATCATGAATCTATTACACTAATAAATAATCAACTGTCAGCTATGATCATCATCTTAGACAAAGGCTTTTTCTGGAGTAGACTGGTGATTTTGAGCAGAGCGGCCAGGAATCAAACTTAGGACATATAATCTCTAATAGTGAGTCCATCAGAATCTTGCTTTTCATCTCTCTTTCATCCAGACTACTTGTTTTCAAGTTTCTTTTGGAATGTTAGAGAAACTGAACCCTGTTTTGCTAATAGCAAAAGTTACAATAAAATAATTTTAAATAAGAAACAGTATTTAGGAAATGCTCTTCCCAACCACCAATCAAACATATCTAACATTTCTATTGTCCTAGCCATGAGAATTTTACAATTGCAGAAGTCACAAAAATAAAACTGATGTAAAAAAGTTCCTGATAAAACATAGCAGTTACCTCAGTGGGATGTGGTTACTGAAGAACATCTCTGCCACATTCAGTAACTCTGCTGTGGTCTCGTGAGTAGGATCTACAATCAGCACCTGCATACAAATTGCAAGTGAAAAGTTTCTACTCCCTTAAGAAGTCAACATATGTTTTTGATTAGATGCACCTTCACTGATGTCTCAGTGCAGAACTCTCATCAGTCCTGTTTTATACACTGCCAGGGAGATGAGGCCCACTAAGTAAGCTTCTTCTGAAGTCTTTAAGTCCATTATCTAAAATACCCAGTCCAAACCACATCTTTAACCAGAAGAGACCAGACTACATACTTTATATCTTTACCTCTGCGTATCCTAGCACACAGGCTTCTGCCTTTGCATGCACACAGATCCACCCATTAAGATGTGCATGGGAGACAGGCAGTTGTCAGCACTGAAGAACACAGCATTGCTCTGTTCAACCCCCTGGAGAGCCGATGCTGCCAAGACGTTCTCAAAGCAAACCCAAACCCAGACAGAACAGGGCCTTCATTCATGCCAAGTGTTGTCTTTTCATTTAATGATTTCAATGTTAAAAGTACTGAGCTCCAGAGAAAAAGATAACACATTAATGCTCCCACAGCTTGAGGTGGTTCAAGTCCCTGTTTGCCACTAATCAGAGTCGTCCTTTTTTCCACAGGACTGCTCTGTCACATGACAAGAGTTACAGAGCAGAATTTACAAACTCCTTATCAGATCTAACTTTAAGTCGTTCACCTAGAGATTAAAATGACACCCAGGATTAAGCTGAGGGCTGTTGATCATCTTTTGAAGTCTTGGTGCAAGAATGCTTTCTAACTGAAGTTGATCCTAACCCTGTCAAAAAGATACTGATTAGCAAATTTGAGGGATTTCATTAACCATCTTCAGGTATTATCACAAAGTTGAAATGCACCAAATTCTCCCTCATCAGATGATAGTTCTTTCTATTGATGAAGCAATTTTTGACATCTAATAGATGCTGGAGAATCATGCTCAGTAATCTCTGAATCTCAACCATAGCTTACTAGGACAAGAACAAAGCCTTTTAGAAAAGCATCCTATCTGAAGATATTTAAGTGACAGGGAATCCAGCATATATGTAGGTAAGTTGAAAAAGCTAATGTCCCTGCTGTTGAATGCACATTTCATTTCTAGTCAGATCAGTACTTACAAAATTATGGAAGTTTTTTCTAATTTGCCTGATGACTCCTGGAAATGTGGGACGCAGCAGTTCTTGAACATTGGAGGGCCAGGAATTATACCGACTGTCAACTTCAAGATTGTTGATCCACTAGGAAAAAATAAAGGCATTTACATGCTTGACAGTCCTGCTCAGTCTGAGACTGTAAAATATTTTAAAATCAGACACTATATTGAGAACCATGTGAATAAAGAGTTAGGCTTTTTAAAAAGAGCTAATTGTATTTACAGCCTTACTTTCCTTTTATTTCTTCGCTGCAGTTTCAGAGCAGATTCCCCTGACAGCTGAAGAATGCACTGCCCAATGGCAAATAAGATATTTCTTATATAAAACCATACGCACTGAAATAGCAGGGCTTCTGATGTCCACAGCATAGTCAGAATCTGACGGCTGGATGTTCAACTTCAGAACATTGTGCAAAGACAGACCCTCAATTCCCAAGCTGTGCAGGCCTTCCATAACACGGGCTTCATTGCGTAGCACATCGATCAAGCTGGAAGGAAAAGAAAAAATGTTGTTGAATTTTAAAGACACAGCAGATAACTTGCTCTTATCCTAAGGGTTAACAGATGAAAAGTATAAACAAGTCTGCACTGTCTATGCATTACTTCATCACCTATTTCTAACTGTCCTAAAAAACTTGAGATAACTTAAACCCATTCAAGTATACCGTATTTCTAGGAAAAACTACATTAAATTACCTAAAGCATGATATACGTACGTAATTTCAATTCCACACTATTGAAAGAAATCTTGACAAAGATATAGGGTGGTTTTCAGATGAAAAATCTACAGTGGTTTATCCCCTGAGAATCAGTCTACTATCTTCAGAATAAAACCTGTATGTTGATGGTCTTAGAGACCAAAATCTTGCTAGTCACAGCACAGATCAAAAGAACAGTACAAAGGTGACTTCCCATTCCAATCTTCAAGATTATTCCTGTTTTGACATCGTTTTTTGTTAGAAATGTACTTGCATAAGAGAAGGAACCATGATTTGATTTTTCTAGTATTTAAAAATTAAACCTAGTCTAGATACAGACTTTGTAAAGAAGATTCACAACTCTCTAAATGACTTTATCATCCATGCACAGTCAGGATACAATTTTTCTGAAGAATAAAACAACCCTACCTAAAGATGTCCTGAGTGTCTAAGTCAATAAGTAGCCCGTTGACGAACACGGCAGAATCCCCCGGTTGCAATCCTAATGTTCCTTTGAAATACTGAAAGAAAGTATGCCATTAGAAGTATGCTCTGCACAGAAAAAAATTACTAGAGATCTTAATGTGTCAAATTGTAGATTTTAACTCCATTATTGCATGACAAATTGCACTGCATTACCTCTCAAGTACAGCCTGCTGACTGTGCACACATTCATACCAGAGGAAAAAAAAAACAACTGAAGCTACTTAGTGCATAGTTGCATAAATGAGACTTCCATTTGTTTCCTTCTACATGATTCAGTAGCGCATTGGAAAGTCCCTGAGTAGACTTTTTAAATATACTTGGATTAAATAATTAAAAATGCTCGAGAGAAGTAATTTAACTTTTTTCTTAGCTGACAGCCCACGAAGTAGATGAACAAATAGCATCCAGTTACCCGTCTTAGCTCTTTAATATGCAGCTTTGGGCAGAATGGACTTAAACTGCTGGATATTGTGTGGTGCTCACTAGTGAAACTAACTGCTGTGTTTAAGGTACGAATCTTAAGCCCTGACCTAGTGGCTGTGTCATCAGTGAAAAGTAGACGAGCTGCCATTGCAGTCTGATCTCCCCAAAATTGGGCAGCACAGAAATGGAAAAAGTCTTATCTATATTTTGAAATTTCTTCCAAGTACCTCTAAAGCAGTACCTCATTAGAATGGGTACTTGCCCCTGATCTGAGGCACCATTACAGAGAGCAATTTTGAATGGGGAGAGGTGAATAAAACCTGGTCCTCCTGAAGCAAATTTCCCAACTCTAGCATGAAAAATTCTGTTTAAAAACTGAAAAATGACATTTCTTTCTTTCAATACATTTGTCTTGCAGCACCAGTTACAAAATTCTATTAAGAGGCATGATGAATGGTGAAGGAGAAACATAGTATTTGACATTTAGAAACACTAATATCATGAAGAATGTGAGCAAAGCAAACAGAGGAATAGCAAAGTGCCACATGAAGTACCAAGAACAGGAAAGCAGCATCTAATCAAGAAGAATTTACTTATTTTACTAAATAAAAAGGCTCCCAGAGAAGAGCTGAGGACATGCAGTGTTAAATTGGATCTTTTTGTGAATAATAACATAGAAAACTGTAACTTACTAATAGCAGTAAACTTCACTATCAAATAATATCCACATAAACTGAGTCATGCAAAGAATAGCTATAAAAGGCAGGGTTAGATCTAGCCAGATCTGGATCTAGAAGCCTAGACATACTTTGAATAAAAATGAATCCACAAAATCGTGTGTTTACCTGTGGACCAGTCTGATCTAACACATAACAGAAAAGCCACCAGGTAGCTTTAGCTTGCACTTACATTCTATACTTTGTCCCTTCCAGAACCACACCGGACGACAGTGTCAAACCGCATCCCTTCTTTCCTGATTTTATCGCTATTGAACAACAAGGGATTTCTCTTTCAGAACAGGAATCTCAGGGGACTTGTAAGGAGATGTCAGGTGTCTGTGCATTTACTACTAGACTAACCAAATATCATTGATCAGATTGTAAACAAAGACATAAGTGTGTACTTAACATACTTTGTATTTTTCCTATTAAGACCAAGTGAGACTGAAATATATGAGTAGAACAGCATAGATCATACAGCAAAAGCTGATGTTTGGCTTCATTTTTATCACCATCTTAAACTTTCATTTTGCATTCTCTATGCACACTGCACTACCAAGTGTATTTTAATTGTACAAAATTCCCAACTGGCTATTGTTTTTTTCAGTGCTTTACTAATGCCAAGTATACAACAGAGCTGTTGAAACATTCTTCTGCAAACAGGAGAGCCTACTCAATGACCTTCAGAGGTCCCTTGTAACCTGGGGGGGGTTTTATGATTCTGTTTCAAAGCCTATGTAGACTTACTTGGATAACTGTTAAATTTTATTCCTTTGCCAGTTTCACTCTCAAAGCACCAACACTGGAACCATTTTCTCCACATAGTATGAATCATTCTAAGCCATGGCAGGTTTTGGGTTTATTCTGTGACTCTCTTGTAAACACTGATGAATTCAGATATCTAAACACCATCTCAAATTGGTAATGAGAACTAAACTTCTTCTGCATCCTTAAAACTGTAAGAAGATGCTTAATATGTTTGCTTTTCAAGCAATAGCTTTCTAACAAGCTACATTCCATCCAGCTCAGACATTTTAAAGTAATCTAAAAATATAACTACATTTTGACTCTCATAACTTCCACTAAAAAAGCACGCACTTTTAATATCTAGTTGCTTTTGAGAAGTTAATACAATCAAAACCTAAAATCAGTAACTTGAAGTCAGCTTCTTTTTCATCATTACCCAGGACAAGTAGTGCTACAACATTCGGACTTCACACATCTGCTATACCACTCAAATAAGAACTAGGTGGAGACTGAAAGGCCACGTGGCAGGCACAGTCCTACAACCATCTCTGTACAACTTGAGCTGGCAAGTCATCACTACAAATGTGTAACTCAGAAACTAAGTAATGACTGATGTGACACAAACATCAAAATCCCTACTGCTTCATTTTTAACACAATCTGTCCTGTAGATCAGATTAAGACAGTCTGCATGGAAATCTTAACACCACCTGCATGTGGTGTATGTAGGTAACACACCATGTATGTTTTGTGTAAACATTTTCTCCCAGGGTTAACAACATAGTATTTTCATTGCATTTAAAGTTAATTGTATAAAGATAAATAAAGATCTGGCAGTTACCAGTTTCTGAGTTCATACACCCAACAGAAGGTCACTTCCATATACATTAACAGGTGCTTGCCTAGTAACTGTCAGAACACTTGACTACTGTGAAGCACCATTGTAGGGCAGCTCTGTGAACAAAATCCCATATCACCATTTCCCAACACATTGATCTCACAAGAATTTATGACCAATATTTTCATACTTGAGCAAACAAGCTAAATTACATTTCTAATCCATGTTTGAAACCCACCACTTCTTTACTTTCCAGATGCATACTACAGCAAAGCAGTGTGTGAAAATACCGGGTCATTATTTTGAGCAAAGTGTATAAATAGAATCATTATTTTCAGAGCTTCAATTTATATTAAAACAGAAGTGCAAAAACACTACATTACTTTCTGGAAGCATTACCTTTTGGTTCTCTTCAATTTCTGCTCTGAGTTCCGAAGAAACAACTGTTTTTGTTATGGCTCTACAGAAATAAAAACATCATGCTGTGAATCATCTTTCCGTGTACCTAATGGATAGATACCTACTTAGCCTACTTTTTGTACCTTTTATATATAAGTGTTTGGTCTCCTAGTATAAAAAGCTGCAGTCAGAAGCATTTGCATGTTGTGGTACCATTGAACAGTAAGATGCACTATTTTTTCTTACATAATTCAACAGAACATAAAAATGTTAACCGCATGCCAACTCTCAGTGTCTAATTTCACATTAACCATAATAAACGTGGGTGCTGCCAGAAAGATAGAGATGGAGGCTGGCAGCAGAAAACAGAGGGGGTTTACTCCTCATTATGGGATCCCATTCCTTTCCTTACATTGGATCCAGTGATTATGTCATCACAGAATGGGCAAGTACAGCTCACAGATCTGACTGAAAACCAATGAGAGTGTAATGCCTACCTTAAGAAGCTCTAACTAGCACAATCTTAACATCAGTTAGTGGGAAATAAGACCAGAATTCAGTTTGTCTTTACTCTCAGGTATATCTCCATCTACTCAAAAAGAAGGAGCTCCTATAATACCATAGTCACAACCAGGTCATGGAATTTATCAACAGAAATGTATTTCTAGACTGGCTGGGCAGGCCAAATTATAACTGAATTTCTTGCAGTTAATCTAAATATACTCAGTACAGTCATCGACAAAGTGCAAAAAACAGTGGAATTGTACATCAGTCTCTGACATGAGGTTGACTGGACTGTTTGGCAAAGTGGATCCCAGAAGAGTGGGATCCAGTGAACAGATAAACCTTAAAGCCACCAAACAGAAAACCCATCCAATAAATTCTTGAGGACTTGAAAAAAGTTCAGAAGCATTTCACAACAAAACAGCATGGGTAATTCTGTCAAATTTTCCACCAGCCCACATCAACTGCCATCCAAGAAAATCACTGTGAGATTCTCTTGTAACCATAGGCTGAAGAACAACTCTGCATAAACATTCCCCAGTGTTTGCTTCCAGCTAAATGGCAAATCAGACATTAACCCAACCAATGCTGCTTGTCTCAGATTCTGCTCAGAAAAAAGATCCTGTTTGCTTCCAGCCAAATGGCAACTCGGACATTAACCCAACCAATGCTGCTTGTCTCAGATTCTGCTCAGAAAAAAGATCCTAAGAAAACTTTCTAGGACTCATCATTAAAGTTACCTGGCCTTTGTAGGAAAGTTCTGACTGAGATCTTTCATGACCATCAAAGCATCCACAGGGGGAGCAGTCAAAATGCGAGCAGCAGTTTGAAAACTTAAATCTAAAGATGAAAAAACACAAGTCAAGAACTCTAAACTGAAAACAAGTCAATGCATAGTTACCTTAATTTTAAGCTTTCCACTTTTTTGTTTGTTACTTATGAAAATTCATTTTCTGTCTGCACATTTAGATACCTTTTTTTTTAATCTTCTTCCTTGTAGTCAGCTTCTGTTTGTTGCCTTGAAGTAAGTAACCCTTTCAAAATGAAAGTAGTATCCTGTCTACAGGTTGCTTCAATGAGTCCAGACCATCACCTCTTTTTTTTGGCTGAGGTGGGAGGATCTGCCCTTCGGAAGGGGGTCTCGGTAGTTGTTTTACGAGCAAGAAATATAAACAGCCATCTGCTGGATCTAGGTAGATTCTCTATGGCTACAACATATGTTCAGCATTTTGAATTACTCTTTTTTTTCAGAGGATTAAAAGCCTTTCCACAGGCCTCTACAGATGATTTCCAGGGAAACAGACCAGAGTTGCAAGCAGCTGCTTTTGAAATAGTTTTCCTTTGGTCTTGAGAAATCTCAGCTTTCCACACAAATAATGACTATGGAAGGAAACTTTACGCTTCCTTTGCTTTTCTGCATTTAGCAGATCATACAAATAATCAGTTGAAGAGCAACTCCCTTACTGTACTTCACAATATAGAAAGGAAACCTCAATTTCAGAAGTCTTGTGAAACAATCTTTCTAAAAGCTATTTCAACAGGACTCAACAAAGGCACTTTAGAAAAATTCAGTATTTTCCAATGCAGGAATTTTATAGTCAAACTCTCTCAACTGTATGCAGCCACTAGCAACCTCATTTGTGTAGAACACAAGAAGGGATGTTTACATTAAGTTTTTGCAGTACAATAATGAAAGTCTTCACACAGATTACCTTGTAACTGCCATACTTTCAAAGGTGCCATTTCATTGGTACTTTCCACAAGGTGTTTTCTAAGCTCCTTCAGCTCTTCTGTCAAGTCAGGATACAACTGCCTGAAGGGGTATAAGGGAAGAACAATTTCTGTGGTTTGTGTGTGACTTCTAGAAGTAAGTCTGCTACTAATTCATAGCATATGAAAAAGTATGCTGCTAACACTTATGGATAACTCAGACATTTAAAAAAATATTAACAAAGCAAAAGATCAACATCTCTTCATCAAGTTCTTTGATATGACAAAGGCCAACAACTTACAACTGAGCTTTACCTTAGTTTTCCAAACAGAAATCCTTGCACTTCATCAATAGGGTCATTTTCATCTATTACTGTAGCATTCACATCTGTGCCTATAAACACACGGAGAAGAACACTATTACCAAGCTATTCAGAAACAGTTCGCACACCCATTTTGATTAGTTTCAACAAAACTACACTGCATTATAAAAAAGAAGAAAGAAAGGGAAAGTTTCAGGTTTACTTTTAAGCCAGTATCCAAGAGATGTTATCTTTATAAATGAACACAGTAACAGCTGAAATAAAACCGAGTTGGATTATTGAGAATGAAAAGCTTAAGATGAGTGGAGATCTCAGAGACCTAGGCATTGCAGAGGAATTCACTAGGACCTAGGAGCCTTCAGGATGTGCCAGCTTTGTAGAGTAAGTACTAAACTTCAATTGTGAACACAACCCTGATTTTAGCCCCAAAACACATGATAAAAAAATAGTATCCAACTCCAATCCTGTGCTTAAACATCAAAAAGAAATGTGTGCAGAAGACTCACACAATCTCCTAACTAGCTGGACACAATCCAGCTCCAATCTAGATGTTTTATGCTCAAGTCTGTCTAAAGGTCCTGACCTTTTAGATGGGTGTTTGGTCCTGGACGAGCCAAAACAGCACAGGCATGAATAAAAGGCTCCACAGTCAGAATGTTCACAGAATCAGACAGGAGCTGGATGAGAACCACGTACCTCTAATGTGCTGCTTACTATCTATTGAGCTATTCACAGCTCGTAGCCATGCAAGTACAGTTTGTCCATTTTGTTAAACATTTTAGACTACTGCATTCAGATTACTGATCGGTAGAAACCTTTGCAAGTTTACAAATAACAAATCTTCCCCAGAACTACTTTTTTTTTTCCCTCCACCTGAAGAGACAAAGGCCTCCAATATACTATTCTATAAACAATATCAAGGCTTTTGCAGGAGCGTCTTATGATTTTGATGGAAATTCTCACACAATAATACAAATCTTATGTTGGATCACCTCCTCTAGTATGTTACTCCTAAAATTAAATACTTTTACAAATAAAGACCAAAGGTTTTATGTGTCTATACTCTAGATGGTGGCAAAATATTCTGAGTCAGAGTTTAGATCTATATCCAGAAGCTGATAAAACTGCAAAATGCTGAAAAACCCCATTCAAAATCTGAGTTCTGTTCTCCACAACTCTTATCTCGAACTAAAAAAGAAAGTAAAAGTAAAAACCATTTTCTTTTACTTAAGTCCAAGATAAAAGCAGGAATTCTGGCATTTTATATGTGTATATGCACATGTAAATAAAAAGTATACACACAGATTACACTATGAAAATAGTTTGGGCAGGTGTATGGGAGTTTTCAAAAGACAGATCAGTGCTCTAAAGAAAAGCAGCAAAGCAAAAAAACATGCAGAATTCTAAATTCTGTTAGAATCTGGTTAGAATCTTAGTTCTGAGAATCTGGTTATCTGGTAAAAAATTAGTTGCATTAGTACTAAGTGCACCAGTACTAAGATCTAGTCTAGAGTCATAATTCCATTGTGCCCAGCATTTCACAAAGACAGAAGACAAGTGCCACGGCAAAGATATGCTTCATAAAGAACATAATCCCAAAAGAGAGGGGAAGAGAAGTGATTTCAGAGCTGAAGACAGAATAATAGCTGCAATTCAGACAAATATTTGTATCAAAATATAAAATTATCTTTCAAAATTAAAAAGTTCACATTCAAATACTTAAAATAGTAATTCACCTTTCACCTGTGTATCATCCTTGGCCTTATATTCTGTACTTTTAATAGCCAGTTCCACACCATAGCCAGAGAGGTAGACTTTCTCTTTACTGGGATTCTGTAAGGAAAAGCGAGCTGTAGAATATTGCCACTTTTTGCTTTGATGTATGAATTAAAAGCTGCCACTTCCCAAAGTTAAGAAATCTCAAGCTGGTACATATTTCACATAGCATAACTGGTAACACATAAGTGAGAAACAAACACACTGAGTGATTCCACAGTAATATGCTGTAATAATTATATTTCCTACTGTATTTCAACAAAACTTTTTGAAGTTCAGCAAGCAAAGATATCTCTATGAACCAAAAACACTGAAAACCCACAAAGTATAGAGGAACACAAAGCAATGTTTTCAGGATTCAGAACGTAAGCCAAGTTGAGCAGGACAGACTCATGTCATCAAATGACATGATGAGGAAGGAAAGGCAATTCAATTGTGAAGTTCAAAACTGAAACATTCACTGAAGTATTACTACAGAGAATTAAATAAAAACAATAAATCAATGACGCGAGAGACACGTACAATTAATTCTGACTTCAATGGAAAACAAGCATGATCACTTGTTAAAAATATTCTGAAATGCATGGGCGTCACAACTGTATTGAGATCTATAGTGCAATACAGTTAATTTTGAATGTAAGTATTCCTCCCAACACTCAAACAAATTACTTTTTAAAAGGAAAGTGGTGTATGCAATGCATGATTTAATTTTATTAAAAGTGAACATGTCACTAGCAGTGAACCAGCTGATCCTTTGTTTTGTGTTCAAGTCTGGTTACTAGCTGCTACACTGCAGGTTTTAGCAACATTAAGCAATATTCAGGAAAAAAGTAAAATAACTCAAATTGCTCAGAGCTTTTGAAATGCAGAGTTAAACACTAATCCCGTGGTTATGGACAACTTACAGGAGGGAGATGGAAACCAGGACAAATTGCACAAGGACTGGTAAGTGGTTCTGTAATAAAATTGCTACAGAAACAATGCCTTACATTTGAAAATGGCACCATAAGGTTAATCCTTGCTTTTCGTATCAAGTAACTAAGTGGCCCGACCATGGAAAGATCTGACTATATTTCCTATAGATAGAATAGCATTTTTTTAGATTAAAGTCTGTAATTAATCTGGAGTTTAACTCGGCATTTCTAAAAAACAAATTATTCTCTTATTTAAACAATCAGGAGATTTAAAATACTCTGTATTCCTCAGCTACGTGCAATAAAAAACAAACTTTGAGTATTCTAAAGAAATATCAAGCAGCAACACATTATGCAAATGTCAATTTAAAGGGAACAACCTTAGGCCACTTATCTTTTTTAAAACCCAGGCCAGTTACTCCTTCCATGTCAAGCACCTCGGCTGCAACGCACAAATATACTTACAGCAATATAGTGTCTGAGGACATAAGTGATTTCTCCTGCCTCAGCCTTTAAAACAAGCCTCTTGTGGTATCTGTAGAATTCCTCTGAGCCAATCTCAGCATAAAGTATGACGACAGGACTTTCGGGGTTTGACACTGGGTATTTGTGGTCCCCTTTGAACAAAAATGGCTTTGGCCTAGGAGTAAACATTGAAAATTATCACGCTGTGATTCATAGCATTTCTTCACTCAATGCAAGGTGCAAAATTTCTTCTTCTCACATTTAATCACTGTTCCTGTCTTCACTGAACACATATGTCAAGCTATTCCCACATATTACCACAGTTGGCAGCACTCACGCATGTTGATAAAGCTTTGTTAAAAATGGACATATGAAAGCAAAACAAGTAGCAAGGTGGTATTTTGAATCTCATATGATAAATATTTAAAGTATTTAATTGTTAGAAGAATTGTCAGAAGAGTCAGAAGAATAGCATGTGAGCTACAGATGCCGTATGTCTGCACATTGGCAAAAAAAAATTATGCTTGCAAAACCCAAAACTACCAAGACTACTATGCAGACAAACTAAACTTTAAGGGGTTTTGGGTTTTGTGGGGTTTTTTCTCCCCCTAAAGAGGGACTATATTTTATAGTTTCCTTTCACTACTAAAAGTTACAATCAAATTCTGTTCTTGCAAAGAAATATGAATTTGATATACATTGTGTGGTAATAGTTTTCTTTGTTAATGCTGAAAAATTATATAGGGAAAAAATACTGTGCATGCTTCAAGCCATTCATGAAATTATCTCTGTTGCATTAACTATCATTTTAATACACAGCCTAGCGCTTTCTAATCTCTCTATATACTAAGGGCTTTACACATTCCTGACAATTCCTACTGTCCTTCAACAAATTGTTTCCAACTTTTCCTGTGCACATTCTTCCTCCTAGCAGAATATCAGATCTCAAGGGATAAGAAATCATTCCAATCTGAATTAATAAGAAATAAGACACTGCCACATCCATGCAAGCAATGGACAGTATAAATCAACACCGAAGAATGTAGAAACTACTGATTTATTATAATCTCTTTACAGCAGTAAGTCTAACAAGGTTAAATTCTAAGACCTAGTCCAGTGACAGAAAATTAAGCAAATACCTTTCTGAAGCTGCCTGTAAAAGGTTTCCCAGAGAGTCAAATTCACATGTCTTCTCCCCATGCACAGCAAAAAACAGGGCACAGCCCTGTGGTGGAGGTTCATCTGCTGCTATCTGTATTAAAGTATTTGTAAAAGAAGGTTGAATGTTTGACCTTAGAACAAGTGAAAATGATAACAGCGTAGCTCTGCAGAAATCGGTCTTCTTCAATTTCTTAAATTCTAAACTAATACTTCTTCCCTCTTTATTACAGAATTTAAATGCAAAATTTAGAGTTAAGTCTTAACTTATTGTAAGTATTTTTTCCAGTCTATTAACTGTAATATTATTGCAGGTACAAAGAGTGAGGCTTGCAATTATAGGGTTTTTGGTTGAGGTTTTTTTGCATTACACACTATAAACCTCTATATTTGTTAAACATCAAAAGACAAAATGATTCCAGATGAAAAAGGAAGATGTCTTCTAGTTTTACTTAAAGCACCTTATAATGTGAGACAATTTGCAATAAACTACATGATACACAAAGTCTGAAAAAGAACCGAGTGTACAATGAACTTCCATTCATGGGTTCTAATCATTCTGTACTCAAGGATTCCTATCTTCACATAAGTACAACTGAATAACAGGAACAGCAGCAGCATCACAAGTACCAGTGGAGTGACAGAGCTTTTCCTCATAAAAATCTTCACACAATTGTTAGTACAACGGGCATCAAAGATATGCAGGTATGTCAAAATCCAAATTCTTTAGTCTACTCTAGACAGATAGACTCAAATTTGGCATTTAGTTAAATTAGTTTATGCGCAGTATATACAGCTTGGCTGTATAAGGCACTTAATCAATTTGACATTTTTTTATACTCCCAAATGCCTCCTTACACAACTCGCTCCTTGCTAGGCCTTAGGTAATGCTCTAACAAATTGTTCGAGGATTTCCTATACTAACCTGTTGAAAAGCTTGAACTGTTGCAGAATAAGAGCGCAAAGACAAGGAAAATTTCAACAAATTCTGCTGCAAAGGTGACAGAGTCTGGCAGGCTACTTTCAGCATTTCATGGTAAGAAGAATAATCGCTACCTGCAAAGTCAAAGCACAAGCAGTTATCTTTCTATACCGTATTCTCATTGAAGAGAGGCTTCTCATCCTAATTGTGATTTATACTAACAGAAGCCCATGACATCAATTGGAAATATGCACGTGACCATCCCTCCTCAATTTTCATTACAGCCAGTTCTACAGATGAATGAGAGTGAACTTCAGTAGCAATCCACAAAAGTACACTTAAATATGTTCCTGAGGATGCAAACATAGGCTGTGGGAGGAGGGAAACAGTTAAGAGCTCCTATTTAATTTCAGGTGAGAAATGGAGAGAAAAAGCATTTATAATATTTTATAGCCATGTTGAAATAGAAACTGACAAGTGAAACATGTTTCAGACTTGTCTACTACAGCTTTTGTCAAACGGATACCCAAAAGCCTTGAGCACTTCGCACTAAAAACATTACTGCAATCAGTCCCCATTTGACTTTTACAATACTAACTTCATTTTTCAACCATGTCAACTATCAGTCATCATCAAGAGAAAGATTATGAAAACTTACCATCATGTTCAGATGTCTTAATATTTTGACTGGCTTCAACAAAATTCCAGAATTTTTCTTGACCTTCTTCTGATAAAAATTCACTGAGTAAGAAAAGAAGAGTTAGGTAGATCTATGAATTTTATCTCAAGTTACAATTCCAATACTTTGTAAAGCTTTACAGAAAGTTAGCTACTACCATATGTTTATCTATATCAGAAAACCATACGTTACTAGAAAAAGCAGAACAGAAAAGCTAAAAACCAAACCAACCCAAACAAGTAACAGTTGCAGGCCAGGACAAACACAGTACATGAAAGAAGCTTGTAAATCACCTATTAATCTCTTAGAGACAGACAGCAGCCTACATCCTGGGAGCTCTCCTCCCTCAGGCATTTCTTTGCTAGCGATCTTTTATGAGAAACATTCATTTTTGTTTACATTGCTGTAAGAAACTGTAGGTTGTTGGAACTACTAGCTTTGGTGGGGGGTTTTGTTTGTTTGTCTTTAAATGAGCAAAAGAAGTCACAGCTTCAAATCATGATGTAATTCACCACGTGTTAAGCATATGATTAGGTAGGTACCCAACATTGGTAAAATAATTCTCTAAACATTTCTAATAACAAATACTTTATCATGTCTAAACTTGTAGCATGCTTCACATGCTAAAGGATACTACAACACAGGATTTAGAGCCCACTACTTGCCACAATAGCTGATGTGTTCATTTCAACCTGTGCTGACCTAAGGTGATAAGTAATTCTTGAACAATTGGGTACTGAATTGCAGTGCTGGGCTAAGTAAATTGAACAGCAGGAATGACTTTACACTGCAGTGCTGTATCGTTCTGCAGTTCACCTCAGACGAACAATCCTACTTACCCAGTGTCTTTGAATATAATGTTTAGGCCATATATCAGGTCTTTGGTACATTGTTTTAATTATTTGCTTGCTATTTCACAGGCTCTTGGGATAAGCTTTTACCCAGCAAATGTCTTGCATTGCCAGAGTATTTAAATCCTGGCATTAACACCTCTGCTTTGCATTTAACTGTTTAAGGATCTTTCAGTCTTCAAACTTCAGCTTCTATAGAGAAGGTTACAGAAAAGTAATTTCACCTGGGACGCACCTGTCCCACCACCCAAAGCCATGCCCACCTGAATGAAACCCACCAATGGTCAACTATTTCTATGTGAACCAATCTGCAATAACGGGCAGAATTCTGTATGCAGCAGCGCCCTTAAGAGATACAAAATTAAACACGCACAAAAAATCTAAAAAGTCCTATTTTGCATAAACATCTCCAAATTAGAATACTGCAAAATGAAACAATGGTGACTTCTAAAGTGCTAAGTAGACTATCTGAAAATACAGCACTGTGTTTTCTTTTTTTTTTTTTTTTTTTGATCTCTATTTAAAAGAAAAAAGTCTTTAATACCATAAAAGAAATCTCCCCAGGCTGACTCGCACAACTCCTAATAGAGCAATTGACTTTAAATAATCAACGCACAACTCACATGCACAAAGTTAAACCCAAGCTTAACTGAGCTAAACATACGTGAGCAACAGATATGTATCAAAACCTACAGTCATCACTGAAGTCAAAAATCTTTTACTTTGGAATCTGACAACACCTCTCTATCGAGTGCTTTGAATAAAACTTCATAAGGCAAAAAATACTTACTATCCAACTATTAATTGTTAATAATGTTTGCTCCAATGCACAATGAAAGAATTTACCACACAAAAAACTACTATCTGCTTTAAAATATTCACTCCACCTCCCCAAGCACAGCAACGATCACGTTCAACTGTTATGACTGACAATGAGTTAGTAACAACCAGAATCCAAAGCACCATAAAATGAACGAAAAAGATAACACATTACTTTATCCTCTAAGCATATTCTGATTTGTCAACAAAAAAATCACAATGCACTTACCTTGTTTCAAGTAACAAAGGAGTTGAAAACCACTTTGTAGTTAGAGATGTTGTCACAGCCTTAGAATCTCCTTTTACAAGTGAAAAGCTGAAGCAGATTCCAAGAACTGCAATAAGTATTCCCATTTTATAAAAGAAGCCTAAAAAAGATGAGGAAATAAATTTAGTTTTGCACTGTCTCTTCTTATAAATACAGAATCTCACATATACTAAGATTCAGTGGCCCATTTAAAGCAGTACATCAGTGAGATAATGTCTCACTTAGGTTTATAAAATAAAAATACTACGAAAACATGAGAAGGGACAAGGATTTTAAGATCTGATTCCTGGGCTGCAATTAAACCTAAATCAATTCCAGCTTCCTCTATGTTTTCAAGTAAACTTGTTTCTGTTCAGGGACACCCACATCACATACTGCTTGCTTTATGAAGAGGTGTTACAAACAGCACATATTTCAAATTAGGTGGAAAACCAACCCACTGTTCACGTTATGGGAAGTCACATTTTGTGGTTGCAGAGATACATCAGCTGGTGTACTCACCAACGTCAGCAGAGCCAGGCAAGGTTAAGGGTTCCTCATCAGCCCTTCAGGTTCTGCTGGGTAGGGTGGACTTCTTCTCTGGGGAATGAAGAAACAAGCATTTCCTGGATGCACTAAGTATCACCAACTTTAGAAGCTGAAAAATGAACGAAATAAGACAGACCCAAATGATACAACTTACTGTGAGAAATGAGACAAAAAAATAGAAATTAGGACATTTCTTTATTGTCCTTCATGTGTACTTTCATGCCTATATATTCTGACCTATACACCATAACACAGCTGAGTGGAATTTCCTTACCCATATCTCTTTAAGTTTATTGAAGACCTGAATTCTCATGTTAGCTTTCTATTACATTCCCCTTCTCCAACTAGAGTATATTTACTACACACCCAATATACATCCAAGCACTCTCTCACTTCTTAATCCTTATTTTTCTGGATAACTCATTTTCCAATTCGCCCCCACAACTCAAAAAACAGCCCACTCAGATTCCAGGTATATCACACGTGACAACCTGTCAGGATCTAACTTGTATCTTTTTCTCATTATGACCTCAATGTAAAAAGTCTTTGCACGCATGCAATATATCTGTACTTACAGCTCTATGTGCGTGAATATATATAGACAAAACAACCTCATCCTACTCCCTTTAAAAATTTACACTGCTCCAGCTAAAAGTTCACTAGCAATCACTCATCCATTGCTCTTCCTGTATTTCAACGTCCTTTCTTTCTGAATAAAAACAGATATGCCCTGCTATGATATACAAAGAGCAACTTGCTCAGCTGCACACAACATTTGTTTTATACTGCACCTGGGAAGCTGACAGATGGCATCGCATGACACAGAATGGTTACAGCTACCCCTCGCTGAGTGCAGAGGAGGAAGCTCAGTCAATATTTGTGGAGCAAAACCTTGGCATCCACCAAGCACAACAAAAAAACAAGGTTTGCAGTTCCTCCCAGGATCAGGTCCTTCTTATTCACTGCAAATCATACACAGTAGTTTGGAACATGTAAATGAACATACTTTAGTGCATTCTTACAGCTAAAACTCCTATGCTGCTCTCTCATGCCTGCTTTGCCATTCTATGAAAGACTGTAATAAAAACCTTTTTCAAAATGAAATAGGAAAAAAAAAAAAAAAAAGAAACCAAACCGAAAGAAAAAGAACACATTTGTCACCTGACACCAGTTTAGTCAACTGAAAACCTGCAGGTGTTTCTAATATCTACACTCCCTGAAAAATAACAGCCGTAACACAAAGGAAAGGCCAGTGTCTGAAAGAAAAGTAAAAATACACTATGTAGAACAGAAGAGGTAAGAGGAGGATATTCAGCTGTATTATGTGTGAGGTAACAAGGCAAAACCCAATCTGAATTAAGACACTGTAAAGTAGATGTTTCGAGACTCATTCGTAAATATTTTTCCTCCTTAATTTTCCTCTAATTACTCAATTTTAAATACAGTTGACTTCTAGAAACTTGCACACCTCCAGCCTTAGAAAAAGGAATAAATCATCCCACAGCCACAGGTCCCACAGGGCTGCGAGAGCCTCGACCTCCAGTGTGTACTGGGAGCTCTGCCTGGCAGCAAGCGGGTAAAACGCTCCACTTCAGGGAAGAGCAAACAAAAAAACCCACCTACTGCTTGAACAAAGATACCAACTCCCTGTGTCAAGGCCGCAATGCTGAATTAAGTTATCTGTCTGAACACAGTACGGTGAATGGTAAAGATCGCTGATAATGCCCAGAGATCTCCTGTAAGCACATCTTAAAGCGTGGGCATCATGTTGCTGTACTACAGATACAGAAACTAAAACGTGGCGTTGAACTGATTAGTCCGAAATCCCATGTTTGAAGAGCTTTGACTAGAAATCGTTTGTTCCGGCTGCTAGTCAACATCCAGCGTGCCTTCACCGAATCCTGACCCGTCGCGCTGCCCTCCCGATGCAAGGCACACTAACTGAATAGCGGTACCGCAGACACCACTGATGACTCAAAAATACATAAAAATTTAAAAACCTAGGATGTCTGTTCGCTAACGGCGAAGGGCACTTGAGCCTCGAGGGCGGCCTCCGGAGCTCTCCAGCCCCTCTCCCCTCGCCGGGCCGCTGTCTGACCGACACCAGCGGCGCGCAGAAGCCGCCCCCGCGCAGCCACGCTCCTCTCTCCGCAGGGCTGCGGCGGCCAGAGCGGTTCCCGCTCCCGTTCTCGCTCCCGTTCCCTGAGGGAGGCGGCCCCGAGCCCCCGCCGCCAGCTGCGCGCGAGCGAGCGGGCGCGCGCACCCCCCACCCCTCCCTCCCTCAGACCCCGCGCGCGCGGGTCGCCGTGGTAACCGCACCTGCCAGCGGCCGCCACGCTCCCTTCCGGCTCGCGCCCGCTCCCGCCGCTTCCGGGCCCGCCGCTTCCGCTGCCGGGCGAGAGGAGGGGCGGCCCGCGCCGCCATAGAGTTAGAGCGGGGCAGCGCTAGACTGTCGCCCGGCCGCCATCTTGTGCGCGGGGGGGAGGTGGGGGCGGGTGTGGCGGCTGGCGGTTCCGCTCCTTCCTCCCGCCGCCGGCACCTCGCCTTCCCGGTGCCGCCGGCGCCGCGCAGCTCGGAGCGGGGACCGGGTCGGCGCGTCACCTCGCGCTAAGGCGTTCCCAGCGTCCTGCGCGTCGGCGGAGCCGCGGCCCCGGTAAGGCGGCGGGCGGGACCCGGCTGGAGCCGCTCACGGCTCGGTCGGGCCGGGGAGCGGGGATACGGTGTCACCCGGCCGCGGCCCCTCCTCGCACCGCCGGGTCGGGGCTCCGGTGCTGCCCTGCCGAAAGCCCCGTGCCCTTCGGCGGCCTCGGGGCAGGGCTCTGCTCTGTCGCCCACCCGCAGCCCAGCGGCGGGGGCAGCTCTGCGGAACACTGACAGCCAGCTCCGAATTCCTCCTGGCACTTACCTGGAACGTGTAACCTGCAGCTGTGCATTTACCGGGCTGAGGCTGCTGTCAGCTCTCTTCCAGTTCTCTTTCTTAGTACCAGTTTCCAACAGCGAGTAGTGAAATAGTTGCACTGGTCCTGTGGTTTTATTTCCTTTCTAGAATGGGTGCCAGAAATTGGGGTTTTAACTGTCTTCAAAGTGCTTAGAAACTATGAGGAGGATTTAGTTCACATATACTCAAATTTTAAAGTTCAGTACAATATGCTCATGTTGATTGATTCTAAAACATATGTATTGATGTTGAATTTTTAAAAATCTCATTTTAACGTGCTTCGGTATATCTCAGCTTATGTACTCATACAAGGAGGAGATTGAGGATATCATCTCCCTACGATAGTACTAGTGTTCAATGTCAGGACAAAGGTTTGAACATCTTTACTTTGTGCTTTCAGTTCAGATCCTGACATAATCCCCTTTGACTTCATGTACATCTTAAAAAGTGAGAACAGCTGTGCTGGGTCAGTGTGGACCCATTTGGTCCGAGCCCACATCCTCACCAGAGCCCTGGGGCATGGAGGGTGGAGTGTACAGTCAGGGCAAACAGAGCAGGGATTTTTCCAGAACGTTTGTGGAGTCTCAGTTTAAGAAGTGGGTAATGCCAGAGGTAAAGGTGGAATCTATGTTGTTTCTCTGATTAACAAGTCTTGTTGGCAACCTGTGTGGTTGAAGGAAGTCCCACAACTTAGTTGCACTGTGCAAGGAACAGTTCCTTTCACTTGCTCACTTCTTTACAGTGTAAATATGAAGGGAGATTGAAAGCAGTATCTGGCAGATAAAAACCAGTTGCTCTTTATTCATCTCCTCTGTACCTTTTCCAGCATTCCATTAGAGCTCCCTCTGAACTGTCCCTTTTCCGGCGTGAAGATGCCAACTCACTTTAGCCATTCGTTATAAGATTATCCTTGCCACATCCTCTGAATATTTTGCAGCGTTACTGTGATCTTTTTGAGCCACGGGGATGGGGGAGCGGAACCGCTCATCTCATTCAAGAAGTGTTGAGCCAGAATAAAGCTGGGAATCCAGCCAGGCAAAGTAACTTTGACAAGGGTAAGCAGTGTCCCGAGAGTCAAGACCCAGGACAGGTCTCCAGTCCCCATCAGTGGTCATCCCAAAGAGCAGTGTCCCTCCGAAACAAACCCAACCACTGTCTGTCTGTGCCCAAAGCTTCCTCAACAGCTGTCTGTGGGGTTGGTCACAACACAAACCTGAAGGGTTTTGCAAGGCAAAATTAGGGATTACTCATATGTGATTCTGTAATTCCAAGGTTTTCCTTCTGGTTTCATTTTGAAATAGTACTAAAACTCTAAGCAACAGTTGTCTATCTGACTTCATCTCTGAGCGTCAAGCCAGAAGAGCCTAAGCGAGAACAATGTCATGGCAAGCAGTGGTATTTTGGGGTGTGTGTAATTGTAATCAAATGTGAGGCATCCCCGGGTTGGTGGTGTCTCAGGGTTGTGATGTGCATTGTCACCAGCGTTTGGGGTTTCTTTTTAAATTTACTTTTTCCCCCTCTTTCCCAGTGAGTAGCCAATATCTATGCCAGAGGCACCAGGGTTGTTGGAGTTGGGTGTTCATCACTGCAACCTGCTTCTTTACAAAGTCCCCTTGCCCTGTATGCAGAGCGGCAAAACCTTCACCTGCTGTGGGGCCAGCCCCTTCTGCTCCGCTTTTCGCCGGTGCCTGGCGTTCTCCCAAGCTCTCCCTGACTCCCGGCTGCTTCTTCGCATCCTTAAGTTTAGACAGGAGAAGCAAACCTCTTGCCAAGACGGGCAGGGAAAATTATTTCCGCCTCGGTGCCGGCAGCGCCCCGCGGGAAGGAGCAGCGGGAGGGGGAGAGGGGGTGCGGGAAGGGCCGCAGTGGCCGGGGTGGATGGGCCGGGGGGTGCCCCGGGGGGGTATCCGGGGCAGCCAACTCGGAGCGCGGTGCCCGGGGGGGGGCGTGGCCACTGTCTGGCCCCGCCCACCCCGCGTTTCCCGGGCAACCTCCGGGCGAGGGGCCGCCCGCGCCGCGCGTCGCGAGATCTCGGCGCTCGCGCGGACTACGCCTCCCAGCAGCGCCGCGGGGGGAGGGCTGCGGCAGCCAATGGGGAGGGGGAGCGCCATGGGGGGCGGGGCCAGAGGCGGCCAATCGGGTGCGGGCAGCTGCGGCGGCGGAAGCGGAGCTCGGTTGGCGGCGGCGGCTCCTCGGCGACGGCTGCCGCGGGGCGTCCCGGACACAGGTAACGCCACGGGCAGCGCGTCCGGCATCGCCTCACCTCGCCCCGGGGACGGGTGGGGGGCGGCGGCCGCTTCAGTGCGCGGTGGCGCGGAGGGTGGAGCCTGCGCCTGGCGGCAGCGCGGGGCTAAGGCGGCGGGGAGGGGCGGGGCCTGGCGGGGCCGGGGCAGGCAGTGCGGGCCACGCTCGGTGCGGGCAAGGGCGGCCGCGGGCGCTGCCGAGAACATCCGGGCCCTGCAGCCCGGCACGGCGGGGCGGGGCGGGCCCAGCCGGCACGGCTGGCCCTTATTGGCCAGCACCCTCCTCCCCGCCATTGGCTCGCCGCCTTGTGAGCTCATCACTACAGTCGCTTCTCACTGGCCGCGGCGGGCCCGCCCTGGATTGGCTGGTGTGGCGGGGGCGCGCCGCATTGGCGCAGGGGTGGCAGCGCCGCTAGCGCCTCGCCCAATGAGCGGGGCGGGAGCGGGGGGCGGTGCCTGCGGGGGGGCGTCGTCGCCCCCTCCCCTCCGCCTTGAGGTGGTGGCGGGGCGGGTGTGGGGGGGTGTTGGGGTCGCCGGTTGTGTGACGCGCTGTGACGCAACGTAACGGTCGGCGGTGCCCGCAGGCGGACATGAGCTCGCAGCAGTTCCCCCGCTCGGGCGCGCCGCCCGCCGGCCTGGGACCAGCGCCGCCCGCCATCCCCAACAGCGGCTCCGCCGGGCTCATCGCCCCCGCCGCCACAGGTAAGCGGGCACCAGGGGGGTCGCGGCCCGCCCCGCCCCGCCCCGGCCGGCGGCAGCGGCAGGGAGCGGTCCCGCTAGCCCGCCCCCGGCGGCCCCAAGCAGCCTGCAAGGACGGGGCCGCACCGGTGGGAGGAGCGGGGCGGGCGTGGGGCGGCCAGCCCGAAAGGCTGACTCGGTCGCGAATGGGTAGAACGACGTGAAAATCCATTTAGCTGCCGACTCTGAAAAGCGGCGTCAGGGCGGAGTTGTTGCTGTAGCTCCTTTGAGGCGCGTTTGCTCAGCTGCCTGTGCCCCTCGGCTCATCTTCTGCACGTTTTTAGCAGAAGCAGCGATGGGTGAATATGGGACCTGCTCATGGAGCTGAAAATGGAGTGGAAGCTCTGATTCTAGTTACTGCTGTCCCTGACGAGATTACAGGTTTCAGCAGGCTACCGGGGGTGACTGAGGGGGGAAGGAGCAGCTTCATTTTCAGGAGGGTTTATACTTGTTTTCAGGCTTGATATTCAGGTACCTAGCGCATAAAATGAAGACTTTTTAATAGTATCTGTTTAATGGGGGACTTTATGACAGCTACTTAGATAATTAGGTATTTTTCCCTTGAAAGAAAAATGAGTCAATCTTTGTTTGAAGTAGGTGGGCTTCTCAGGGATGACCCCAGGTTGCCCAGCATTATGAGGTCTCTCAGTTCTGAGGGGAACCAGCAGAAGCAGTGCCAGAGTTCCTAGGGTTTTCATCACTGGAATACGTGTAACTGTAAGGGTGAATTTGTTACAGGTAGACTGTTTCTGACATCACATCTCTCACCTGGTGGGTCGACACCAGTGCGAACTTGTTAATCTTTTTTACCTTTTTCCTCAGAGTTCCCTTTTTCTTTTCTTTGCTAGTGAGTGATGAATCTAGTCGTGACTCAGAAGTTGCTCCTAGAGAGCACATCGGTCCTGGCGGTTCTATACAACCCCGAGAGGAAAAGCAGGAACCAGTGGTGGTTCGGCCATACCCACAGGTTCAGATGTTGACGCAGCACCACCCAGTCCAGTCTGGTGCTCCAGTGACAGTAACAGCACCACCAGCACATTTGACTCCAGCTGTGCCACTTTCCTTTTCGGATGGGCTTATGAAGGTAACGAGAAGGTTCACGATTCGTAGGGGAAAAAATACAATCTATGTTACAAGTTCGAGTGTTGAGCAAAAATAAATTGCACCAAAAACTTCTTTGCTTTTGTTTCTTAAGCTTTCCTTGCGTACTTCTACTGACTGTACACTGCACCATGGGTTTAGCTGTTTTGTATGATATGCTGAAGGCTTCGATGGTGTCACAGTATTATTTTTGAGGGGGGGGTGCTTTTTATTTATTTCTTAAGAGAAAAATTATTTCAATCAGTTTCTGACATCTTCCCTTTTCTCTGCAGGAGAGTATGAAAATATCAAATTAGCTGTTAATGCCCAGTATCTGTAGGGGAATACCATAGCACTAACATATTCCACTTGTGATTC